GCCCCCGCCCCTCGGCGCGGGCCGCGCTTCCCCCGCCCCACGGCGGGCTCGTGGGCCGGACGGGCGGGGCGGCGGAGGCGGGCGGCTCGAAGGGATCCCACCTGCCCGCCGTCGCCGGCCCGCAGTCCCCGGTGCCGCGGGGCGGGCGATGAGGGGGCCGCGGGCGGGCGCGATGTTCGGGGCGGGCAGGTACAGCATCCCGCGGCCCGTCACCAGGAACCTGGAGGATCTGGACTCGGTGCAGAGCGTTCTGCTGCACAGGTCAGCGGCGGGACGGGGACGGGAGGCTGTGGCGGGGAGCGGAGCGAGAGGGGCAGGCGGCGGTGGGGCTCGAGCTCCCGGCCCTGCGGAGGGGCTCCTCGCGGCGGCCTTTTGTTGCCGGGGCAGGAAATGAAACGGGCCGAGCCCGTGTCCGCCCTCGCCTTCTCCGGGCGCTCGGGCTCCCGCGGCAGGCAGGTGGGGCGGCGCGGGAGCCCTAGGAGAGAGTGCGGCATATGACGCGGGTGCAGAGATCGAGGTGACGGAAGCTGTTGGATCGGTTCGTGAGCGCTGGGAGCGCTCCTTCAAGCAGAGGAGGAAAAACTGAACTCGTGGGCAGTCGCTAGTGAATGTACGGGGGAAGCGCTGCCTGCTTTATCCCTGCCTTCCTCATCTCTAACGTGCTACGTCCCGCGCTGTTCCATCGCGGAGAAATCGTAGCGGTAACACCTTATCCGATGGGCCGTCCGTGGGGCTCTGAGAGCCGCCTCAGTGCCGCCTCCTTTGTGCATAGCTGTACGAGGGAAGCACCAACAGAAGCGCGTCTGCTCTGTGAAGTGTCCGTTTCCTAAAGTATTTTCTCGGCTGTGTTATTTCCCACTAAAGAAAAAGTACGCTCTCTCCCAGTGCCAGCTCCAAACAGATATTGCTATGGGAACTGCCAGCTGATTCTTAGCTCAGCTTTCCTCCAGCTGAAAGCACCCCACTGAATGAATAGTTGGTCGAAATGCCTGAGGATGAAAGCAGTGCTTGCAGCAAGCAGAGTGCTCTGCACTTGGGCTGTTCCTACACTGCTCTTTGGAGCAGCTCTGTAAGCAAAAAAAAATTGCCTGTATGCTACTGGGGATCCTCTGGTATCTGAAATGCTGTGAATGCATTTGTTAGTGACTTGATAAAGAAACATGTTGTTTTGAAGTTGGATTAAATACGCTGCCCAGTGGTATTGCTTACATCAGTGCAATTTCAATGCAGTCAGGTTCTTATTCATACATTAAATATTTGCACGTTGACATTGCAAACAATCACTTTGTTCCAGGTGTGATGTGCCTGCTATGTGCAGCAGGTGATGCTAAAAGAGCTTGAAGGTTTCAAGTGAAGTAAAAACAGTGGGAAAAGTTGTATTTGAAGTTACAGCTGCTTCCCATGCGAGTGGGAGCTCTTAACCATACAAGACTTTTCCTCAAAGGAATGAGACAGGTTGGACTACTGCTCCTGAAGTCTGTCACTGTCCCTAGTTGCTTTTATGCCCTTCTTCTGAAATACTATTTGTGATTCATTTTAACAGTTGCATAGAAGGGAAGGGATGCAGGAGCTTTAACAAAACAGAAGTCAATTTTATTTATGCAGTATGATTTTTTTTTTACAAAAATTTCATTATTTTAGTCACAAACGTAGCTTTCATTCTCTACATAGTCTGTTGAAATGTAAATTTCCCAGTTGAGATGAGTTCCAATATCCCTACTCAATTTGTGCTGCTTTGCCGCAAATGTCGGCTATGCAGTAATGTCAGAAAAGCTGTGAGCAGCAGCTCTTGTAATCAGTCTTATTCGTGTAATCTTGTGTCAACCTTACTGTAATCACAAAATCTTCTTTATTAAGAAAAACCTATGAAAAGTGCCTTTTGCCCCTCTTAAAGAAAGGCTTTAGTGGAATAGGGGAAAGCTGTACTGTTGTCATTAAGCTTGAATAAAAGAGTTCATTCCTTTCTCATATTTTTTTGCTGATGCTGTGTACAGGAGAAATAAAAAAATGAATAGGACTTCCCAGCTGAAAGAACTGGAATAGGCTCAGCTTAGCAGTCCACCACTTTTTTTTGTTTTCCTTCAGATGTTTGAGTTAAGGAGGTATTAACCTTAAGAAACAGAGATGAAAATATTTTTCTCTTAGTACTGTTTGCTTGTAATGTATCATGTCTTATCTATAATGTATCATTATGTCTGTCCAGTTGTCATATCAATAGAGTCATGTTGGAAATACTACTGAATTTGAAAGCTGGTAAAGAGGAAAAAATGAAGGCATAATGAGCAATTTAGGCTTTCTTATTTAGTTGTCAATAACAAAGAGCTGTAACTTGAACTAAGTAAAAGCAAAGGGACACTTAAAATCTTGATAAAAATGGTGACTAGATTAACAGATTCAGTTGTGAGGTACAGTCGCTAGAGAATGTTCCCAGCTTACAGCACCATTCAGGCAGTGCTGCAGTCAGTTCTGCTCTTCACCCCCACCAGCACTTAGCAGAGGAAATGACATTGAAGAGGCATGGGAGGCAGCTGTGAGGGCTCAGCACCCAATGATCCCATGTAGTTTCTGGATAGTGTATTGGCACTTCACAGCCATAAACTGGATGCTCCTAAGTGTCAGACAGAGTTCCCTTGGGGTGAATGGAGCACTAATTTGCTCCTGTCTACAAAAGACCTACCACTGCCCCTGTTTTTAGCCTTGTGTTGAACAGAACACAGCTACATCCGTATTCAGGCCCAGCACACCTTCCTGAACGTGAATCAGTGAAATCAATCTGACATACTGTCAGTGAATCATGGGTCCTGGTAAAACTGCTAAAGTTGGATCATGTATAGTTACTTCAAACAGGACAAATTAGAGTAGTTACACAAATGCTAACTTTTCCTGTGCTCTTACAGCTAACTGCTAGAAAAGATGGCTACTCCAGCCTCATTTCTTCAACAGGGTGGAGAAATTAGTTGTTGATGTGTAACACTGAAAAACTGTTAGTAATTGAAATTTTCAAGTACGTGGATAGGGATTGGAATAGGAGATAAGTATTCCTTCGGCCAGACCAAAATTGGAGTGGTATGCTTTTGTTTCCTCATTCCTTAGAAAGGACCAGTATACCTCACTGCTATGTCCTATGCACTATCCCCTTTTAACTACAATCTGCTACTGAACGCAAATGTGGATCAAGATAGACTTATTTTTAGAGCGCAACACATTTTGAAGCATGACATTAAGCCAAAAAGAAACAAGGAATTTCCAAACATAAGAGTTGGTTCTGCCAGAAAAACCTTCAGGCAAAAGAGTGTTTAAAAGCTCGTCTAATTCTTTACACCTTTAATTATTTCCTTCTAAATGTCCATTAACCAGTTGTTCGATAAGAGTGAGCAGTAGTAGTGGTACCAATGATGTCCTGTGGCAAATATTGACCGTCTGCTTGTCAATAACAGCAACCAAGTGCAGAAGGATTAGGGATGCTTTAGAGAGAAGCATCAGCCCAACCATTTGGACTAAGTGTAAAAGATCTACCAGAAGGCAAATTGTTTCAAGTCTTTTCCTAATACTTATGCACAAGAAATGATGGGAAGCTTTCTTAAGGAGGATTGTGTGGGAAAGTTTCTTCACTCAAATAAAATCCTGCTGCATGAGATAAATCCTTCAATTTTTAGTTGTTCCCACGGCACCAAGACCCCACGTTCATTTCAGAAGAGTACTTAAGTTATTCCCAACTATCTTAGTGAACTAAAATCTTCCAGCATCCTTTTCTCCATGATAAGTTTATCTCTGCAAAATACCAAGTGGTGTAAGACTGCCTCCACTTTTTGGAGAGCCTGTGTTTCTCAGTTATTGAGCAAACAACTGGAAACAATTAACCAACTCTTGAACGCAGTGAAATTTGACAAAAGTAAAAGGATAATCTATAAGCAATAACTTCTCTACAGAAACACTTCAGTGTGCTATTCACTGTATTAAAAGTGCTTGCAAATAGCGGTGGAATTAGGGTGGACAGGACTGTATCTCATCTACCTCTTTTGAAATTGCAACTCCTGCAGTATTCCTTCTAGAAAATCATAACTCATCAAGCTCTTTGGGAAATATTGTTTATGCAGATTCTGTTTTTGCGCAGTAAATTGTTTGGAAAGTTGAGTATTTCTAAAACATTTTTTCCACCTGTTTTTCTGGAAGCAATAGGAATTACAAAAGTTGGTGCATAGCTTGCATTCTGGCAATTGGAAACAAAGATCTAATTTATTTTAAGAATCATCTACCATGCATGAATGATATGCTCTGTATAAAGTGGTTCTTGCCAGCTTGGTTAATTCTTTTTACTCTTTCTACCGTGACTTGTCCTAACTTGAATAAAATCATACTGGAATAAACTTGTCTCTTTTTTTCTTTAGGTAGGGAATGTTTGTTTCTTCCTTTGGATAGTTGCTTATTCAGAAAATCCACACAACAGTAACATTTCCTTGAAAGAAGCTTTTCTACAGGCATTTCAGAATTGCCACAACATTTGATGTAGGTATGTCTGACTACTCTAGTTGAAATTGAATCCCTGGGACACAAACCATTCCCGTCTGTGAATTCACTTGAAATCACATTGATCAACAAATGCTTCCCTAAGACAGTTTCAAAGGCAGGAATCTCATACCAGAATTCTGCAACTCTAGGAAAATACTGCAGTGCTATAAAACCTCACTGCTGAGGCTGTGCAAGCATCCCACTGAGCAGAGATTAAATCCAACACATTAAAAATGTTCCAACAATTATTCTCCATCCCTTCCCTTATTCACCATGCATGTCTTGGTAGGTTTACTGACACAGCTACACAGCGAGTTGCCTGCAGGTCTGCCATGAGTCTTGTTTTTCATGCATGTGAATAATTAAAGCCCTAAAAACAGAGTCACTTTTTGTTTTTCTATCTCTCTACTGTGTATTGACTGCTTTCAGGGGCCAAAACACGTAGCTGGTTTGGCTGTGCCTCGCATCCCTGCCCTTTCTCCCTCACTTACCTGCTGTCCTAAGCTAAGAAGCCGTCTTCATTTCTTGTGCTTCTTTAAATGATGATGGGATGTATTCTGCTGCTAACGGTTTGATGGTGAGAGTCAGTTTTTAATTGGAGTTTCTTTCTCCAGATAAGTTTTTGATTATAAGCAATGCTTTGGAGCTCAGCCCAGGACTGTGGTTCCATCTAGAGTCTCTTTTATGGGGCTGTTGCTGAGGCCTTGGTAACAGACAACCAAACGGTCTATTCTCCATTACGTTTTCAGTGCTGGCCCACTGAAAGATGCTCAGAAGTCCACTGAGACTCGGATGTTGGTGCTGAGGGAGTAACGGGGGAGGCTGGGCGCTTCCAAACCTCTCTTACTCCGTGTAGCCCGGGCACAGAGGAGAGCGGCCCTCCCAGCCCGAGGTCGCAATAACGCTTCCCGCCCGTTGGCGGGGCCCTCACAGGCGGGGCCGCGACCGTTAACTCTCGCGCGCGGCACTGCCACGCGCTTCCCCCGTCTCCATGGCGCCGGGAGGAATGGCCAATCAGAAGGCTCGGCGCCGGTCACGTGCGGGCGGACAGTCATGGCGTCCGAGGGGGACGGCGCGAGCGGAGCAGCTGCAGGCATGGAGCCGCTGCAGGGTGGCAGAGCGGGGTGCGCGGACACCGGCAGCGAGAGCGGCTCGGACAGCACCTCGCTGTCCGCCAGCTCCGAGTAAGGGCGGGACAGGGGTGCAGCCCGCGGGGAGCGCGGATGGGCTGAGCGTTGGCGGGCATCATTTTGGGCAAGAGCGAATAAATGCGAAGTGCACGACGTTTGTCCTGCCTGCTGCACCCTTGCACGCCTCTAAGTCCCTGCGGTTCCAGGCAGAGAGCAATATCTGTATGGGCGTTTTGCGTGCTTTTTTCCAGCCAGACCTTTCCTCTGAGCCCTAGAAGTGCTGTGCTGTCTTTATTATGTTCTTTTCTCAGCTGTGTTTTCTAATTAACGCTCTATTCAAGTTGTGTGCTGATGTTAGTGTTAAACAAAACTTTCTTCCTCAATGGAGTCAAATTATCTAGTTCTAGTGCAAGATTTATGGATGCACGCTAGCTTTACTCAATTACTGACATGATTATGTATGTCTCCGTTGTGCTTTTCCTTGTTTGATGGCTATTGGGCAGTCTCAGGTTGGCAGGAGGACAGACCTGGCTGCCCTCAGGCCGTCCCGAGCTGCTCTTGGCTGTTCATGAGAATCTTTCGTGTAGAATATCTCAGAAGTTCTTCACAAAGCTGCTAATACTGACTTCTATGTGCATGAAATCAGAAGCTTTCTAATGTTCACCTTAAATGTTTTGATAAATTAAAGCACTGATGACTTTCCCTGCTGTGATGGTTGCTGATCCTCATGCTCCTCTAATAGTGCTCTGAGGTTCATCTTGGTGCTGTGGAGTGGACAATTTGGCCTGTTGCCTCCTCAGCTATCTTCTTTTTTTTTCCCCAGCCAAAAGAGTGTGATTTCCTTCGGCCTCTTTCCATATAAAAGATGTTTATAAACTACTTTGTATTTGTCTCTGTGCTCTGGGCCTGTTCCAGTTAATTTTGTCTCCTTTAGGCTATACGGTCCAAAGCTGGACGTGGTTGACACATCGCCATTGCCAAACTAGAACAAAAACTTCTTATGTCCTGTTAATCCATCCTGCAGTTGCATTGCCTTTCCTATGCAGCATCTTGTTGCAAGTGATCTACTCCAGCTGCTAGAACTCTTTCTGTAGCAGTGCTGTCTCTGTATTTTATTGTTTTGTATTTCTGCATGTGAATCTGAATGTTATTTTGACATGTCTTAAAAAATGTTATGTGGATTTTTTTTATTTTTTTTATTTTAAGATGATTTAAAAATGCTAGTCTTGTCTTTCAGCGAGGTTGCAGTACAGTCCAACCTTTAAGTGCATAAAGGAAAAATGATGGGAGAGAACAAATAGGATGTCGTTTTTTCTCTAAGTCCCATCATGCTCATGAATGTAATTACTAATTAAAACTTGGATATGAAGGAAACATATTTTTTTGCTTGCTTCCACAGAAGTCAGTAACAGTACTTTTTGCAATGGCTGGAAGGCATTTGGAGAATCTGTTTTAGTGTTTGGAAAGGATATGTTTCCTTCCCAAAGCTGTCCTGGGAGAGTTCCCATTCCCATGGCAAGCTTAAAGCATTAAGCTTTTAATATTCAGGAGATCATATGCTTTCTTGCCTTGTACTGTCCATATACCTTCCCTGTTTTAAGTAAGTAGGTGTCATTTGCAGAGCGGTCTTTCTTATCAGAGCTATCACTGATCGTTCTTCTTTGTTTCCCAGTGATCTTGAGCCTGAATGGTTGGATGGTGTGCAGAAAAATGGGGAGTTATTTTATTTAGAAATGAGTGAAAGTGAGGAAGAAACTTTACTTCAGAATGCCTGTCCAGAAATACCGCCGGTGAATCATGTCAGATTTCGTGAAAATGAAGCGGAAGTTATTCAAGAGGGATCACGAAAAGAAAGAAAGTATGAACTGAAGAAACTGACAAAAATATTAAAGAAGAAGAATCTTTTACCAAAGCATTCTAGTAAGAAAGGAAGTGGAAGCCGTAATGTGCGCTCCAGCGGTCCGACTTCCATACTGAAACACAACTCCACTCAGAAAATGGGTGAAATACAGCAGAAGTACAAAGATATATATGTTTATGTAAATCCCAGAAAACTGTTGGAGAATGCTGGAGAAGATGAGCAGCACAGGCTGCTAGAGGCCTTAGTAGGAATTGTCCATCAGTCTTCATGGAGCAGCAGAAGAGCAGAAAAACAAGGCAAGAAGGATAAGGTTGCCAGAGGAATCAGTGAAGAGAAGCTTGTAGTACATGGCTTGGTTCCAGGCAGTTCGGCAATGAAAACAGGCCAAATCTTGATTGGTAAGTTAATCAAGTGAACAAACTCTTCTTTTAAAATGAATATTTTTATTTTATTTTTTGAGAGGCAGCTGCCTTGAGTACTCCCAAGATGTAAATAAAGCTTACAACTACTGTTTTGTAAATTCTTGAGGTACTATTTTAAGTAAATGTCACTGCATTTGGTGTTTTCTCACCTACTCAATGTTATTATATTAGTGGTTTTAAAAATATGTGACATAAACCAGAAGGCATTAAGGAGATGATTGTCCCTTTAGCCTACAAGGAGCAAGCATCTTCAACTTAGGAAAAAGAGTACTGCCTCACATCTTTAATTTAATGCAGCATTTACTCTATAGATAACTGTGCCTATGGAAAAACTTGAGTGTGCCAAATACTGTATTTTGTTTCTATTCTGTTCTACCACTCTTCTTAGAATATGCTTTATATGGATTTTGAGACATTAAAAAAAGAGAGAAAAAGCATGGAATAAATATATATTTTTTAGATTTTTTTCTGTGCACTGTCTTGTTTAGTTGTTCTTCTGTCTAGCAACGAGAAGAGCTTCTTGAGCAGTTGCAATCAGCAGGCCTCTCAGCTGCAGAATGAGAAGGCAGTGAGCCAGCGGAGCAGCTCTTTTGTGTTGGTTTGGCTCTTGCCAGACGTAAGGCGATGCAGCTAAGTAACCTGGCAGGAAACAAACCCAGAAGAAAAACTGTTCATCTAGTTTTTGCTGGTGTGCTGAGTTAAACCGGATCGCAGAAAGCCTGACAGGCACCAGAGCTTGAATAACATACAGGAGTGAACTTTCCTGGCCAGTAGTGAAGGAGCAGATGCACGTGCTCCCATTTCCAGCATCAAGAGCCACTGAAATAAGTGACTTAGTACTCATGAACTCCCAACCTCAGAGACTGTAAATGTGAGACAGCTGACTTGTGTCTGCAAGGGGTGGAAGGTGGTTAATTGCCCTTGAAGTTGCTCTCTAGTAAGAGCAAGCAAATATATGATTTTGGTTAAAAGATTATGAAAATCTTAATACTGTAGTAGCACAAATGCACAGCATGAGTGCTTTTGGAATTCCAATGTTGTGTGTGTTAAAATGCAAATCATGCTTTGACTAGCTCATTCTTCTAGAATAGATCTTCAGTACATTGCTGAAGAATACTCGAGGGAGAATTGGATAACTTTCAAATGTTACCAGAAAGAACTGATTAGTCAAGAAGTGAGGGATGAAGAATGAGGGGGAGGAGGAAGAGAGTTTCAGCTTGATCTACTGTGCTTAATGCTATTTAATCTAATTAGTGTAAAGCTGGGTATTTATAACCTGTAAGTTAATTTTGGGATGTGCGTTTGTTATGTTACCGCTTGTTTGTAAGAGCAGCTGTGAAGTCAGAACAACCAAATAGATACATACCAAATCCAGGAGAAAATGCTAACTTTCTCAGTCACAGTGGTACATTATCTGCAGCATTCAGTGTTTCCTTGAGCTAATGAGCACAGTTTTGTTTCTTGTTTTGTCTTCTCTTAGATAGAAGTTTACATTTAAGTTAATCTAAAAAGTCCAGCAATTTCATGTGTTGTAGGGCTGACAAGCAATAGTGCTTTGGTTTGGGATGTTGGAAAGAAGTATTTTCAAGCATATTGCAGTTATCCAGCTTTCAGTTGGGAAAATGAGCTGTATTCTTTGCCAACAGTATAAAATATATAATTTGGAAGTATTTTTATATGAAAATTACACATCTACAGTGAACACTGAGTACTCTAAAATTTTTATGTGGTGTCTAGAAACAGAGCTTTGCATAAATTAGGCGTTTAGATTTCAGTGCTGTCAGCATAAAGATAGACAGTAAAAATAATTTTGATTCTCTCAGAAAAACTGCTTGGCTTACTGTCCCTGTATTGTGCTTCGGACGATGAGTGTTACATTATTTACCCAAAGCCTGACACAGAAACAGCTGTAGTTCAGTGGAGGGCCTTTTCAGATCCTCACAGGAGGTGAAGTTGCTTAGAAAGTTCAGGAAAAAAGTCAGTAGAACTTTGCTTGTAAGTTTTAGGAATTTTGTTCAGAATTGTGGACAAACACAGTGAAATATATTTCTGTGGTCAGTCTAAAACCTGATCAATATAGCATGATGGTGGCTGACTGGTTTGGGTATGACTTTTTCATCTTCATTGACCTTCATATGCACAGATGTTAACCTGTTCCTGATTTTTTTATTTTTTTTTTTTAAGTATTAATATTTTAATGACCTGCAGTGGGTGATGCAGACCATTTCTGTATCAGTGTTTTTGTCTCTTTGCTCCATAAGTGAATGCCAAGTACATTTTCCCTCTTAAAAAACATGCTTTAAAGTAGTATACCATGGGTTTCCTGGTGACCAGCTTGCAGTGGATGTTGTGAGCATTTTTGTCTCGGCATATTGTTACTGAATTTGATCTGTTGGCAATCAACATAAAATTTGAAGTCATTCCAGTATTGAGAAGACAAACAGAGCAGAAAATTAATAACAATTTAGAAAGTGCATTTTGCCCACCTTCTTTGTGCTCAAACACCTCTCCTCTTCCTCATCTCAGCCCCCCTGTTCCTCCTGTATGGTAACTGCACACCTCCACCTCTTCAGGAAGGTAATGAATGGGGCGGGAGGCTGGGATTGTGTGGTGCCTTCCTTCTGCTTCTTGTTTTCCTTTGCTGCGTCATAATTCTTCCACAGGCCATAAGCTTTCAAGGAATGAGTCCTCTGTGAGCCCCAGCCCTTCCTGTAGTGACTGCTGCACTCTTAAATACTCGGGCAGAAGTGCCACTGGCTGCCCTGGCTGGGCCGGGTGTGCTGTGAGTTGCTGCACTGGCTCCACTGAGTGGCAGGAGGTGGTTCATGGCTTTCCACACAGGTCACTGCTGCAGCACCCAGCTCCCCAATCCCGGTAGGGGTGCCCAGTAGCATAGTCTGCCTCTCTGGTCTTGAAGTTTGAGCACTCCAGATCTTTATGTTTTTCCACCTCACGATTTGTGTTTGTGATATGGTAAATAATAGTGGAGTTACTGGTTACTTTGTATTTTCCTTAGCAATTTAGTTACTTGTCAGCAGTAAGTATTGTTGCCACTGAAGTGGCTGCTAAGGCTGAGTCATGAGGGAGGCTGAGATTTTTTACTTTGAATGACCAGTTAAAAAGCTGTTATTGCTTTAACATTTCAAATAACTGCTTTTTTTTCCAATAAATAATCACTTTCCTCTGATGACTTCTTCAATTGATTCCGATCCGTGTATCCCTTACAGCATCAAACATTAAAAAATAAAACATCTGTTTATTATTTGTGGAGTGTATTTTACTTTATTTCAATATTGGGTATGGAAGTCATAATTCCTGTTGCTATATTTTATCAACCAAGTAGAATGTAGCCACTGACCGTATGAACATAAACATAAGTTTTGTAAGCTAAGAAACTGCTGCTTTACCTCTGTAAAAACATAGGACTCCGTTGTTTTTCAGCTCTTTTTAATGTTGTTGGGTTTTTTTCTTTGTATTTAAAAATCCATCAGTCTTAAATTGTCAAATAAAAAAATCTTCGTTGCTTTTAAAATTCTTGCTGTCACTTCCATTTGGGTTAAGAAATACAGTTGTCTTTATCTCATGTACCTTACGGGTCTTTTGTTTTTTTGGAATAATTTCTCTTACATGAATTTATTAATAACAATATGCATAGCCCGTTCTGCTATGTAAAACTTCATAGTTAAATCTTTCAATGCGTCTTCAAAGACAAAAAGCTCCACCAAATACTCACTGTTAGATCCAGGGAAATAAGGGTTATAATAGGAAATGCCATTATAATTTGATTTCCTCTCCCCTCCAAACTGAAACCTATCCAATTCACAGCAGGGGATACTTTCTGTAAATGCTGATGATGACCATCTTTACTGTGGTATAAATGGAAAAGTAATTCCAGTGACACTGAAAATGCAGAAAAGCTCTTTTGCCTTACCCTCTTTAAAATCATTTTTCATAATTATTGCACCTGTAACTGAGCATCTGAATGTTATGCATGAATTCTCTCATCTATCTGATCAGTGGGTTCAGCTGTCAAAGAGGTGTAAGAACTACCTAGAGAGAAGGATTATTTCTGAAAGATAGTAAGCATGGACTGTAATAATCCAATTCTGTGCAACTGTGTAGAAGATGCAGGCTACTGTTGCAGGTATCAGTTGAAAGGTGCAGATCCCATCCCCCTTTACTGGCAAAAGGTTTTCTGTGGGCTTTTATTAATTCTCTTGGTGTTATGTGGGAGGGTTATTGATTTCCTCTGAATGAAGAAGTGTTTAAGTAGTAATCTTTTCTCCTTTCATTTGAATAGTAAAAACACAGATAATCATTGTTGGAGGTCCAAAGCACAGTATTGTTATTCAGCAATTGATCACAGATTGGTAAACCAGGCAGTTGTTGCTGGAAAGCAGAGCGTAGCATGAACTGGTTGTTTAAAACAATAATCCATTTACATAAGCAGCTTGCAGTCATTTGACAGTTAAGGTAAATAATATTGGTGGTTGTTGTTGCTTTTTGTCATTTGCTGCGAGCTAAGAGTTCTGTCAGAAGAATGTTCTTGAAAGGACCACAATACTGTAAGAGTTTGTGATTTTCCATGGGAAATTGCCATGTATGGTGTATTGTTGAAAAGTCTCTCCAATGTAGAGATGTTAAGCACACAAGATAGAAATACAGAGCTTGCGTAAGCCTTGCTGTGCTCTCACTGTGGAGTTTGGGATGTCGTTTATGTTCTTTTAATCTCCTCTTGAGGCATAACAGCATTGGTTTGGGTTGAAGCAGCCTGCTAACACATAAAACAAGTAATTGATCTGGCTTTCTTCAGTAAAATATGTTCCACACTTTGCCTTTTTTGGAAGGGAGTATGTGAGTATTTATAAGTACTTTTACTGAGCCATTACTAAGAACAGAGGAAATTACATGAAATTAAAAAAGTCTCATTCCTCTCCCATGTGAATGGCATGGCTCTGATTTTTAATTCAGATTAAAATGTTCATTTGCCATCACAGCATGGAAGTGGTATTCACTCATCAGCCGGTACCCTCTGGTCTCATGCATAGTTCTGCTTTTAGAAATGGTGCGTGCAGGTTTAGCCGTATGGAGCCAATACTTAACGAAGGTAATAAACCTGTGCCTCATGGGACAAAATGACAATCCGTCCCGAGAGAAATATCTTAGTGATGCCAGCAGTCCTGAGACATTTCTAAACTTCATCTTCTTTAGATGGAAAAAATTTATCAATCACTTTCATGCTTGAGATCAATACACTTTCTTAGGTAACAGTGGGTGAGAAGTGTTTTCTACTGAGATAAAACTGAAAAGACTGAAAGAAGAAAGTAGGAACAAATTCTTGACTGTCTTTTATGTCAGTTACATCACTTTAGTTCTTGGTTCTCTTTGGCACTGTGTGGAGAATGTATATGGGCATCTAATAGTTTGTGGACTAGGAGCAAGTTTTTGCAGTAAATGATGGAACTCAGAACTTGATTATTCATTCTTATTGAACACACACGCACACATGGATAGCTAACTGTATTCCTTTAAGAGAAGGATATGTGTGTTTCTTTATTTTTATTGACTCTAAGTTTGATATCCTGGAGCTGTCAGAAGGAAAAAAAAAATATTTTGTCAAGTGCAGTTGCTCAAAATCTCTCTAAAAATGGAAATGAGACCTTGTCCTAATGTTCTTCATCTCGTGTCTTTCAAGCCAAACAATAATGAGCTGAGGGACTTACAAAACAAAACGCAAGGCAATAAGAGCAGGTCAAGTGCTATTCTACATAGTATTTTATTATGCAGTATAATTTGAATTTGCAACTGTATTAATGAAAAAGCTAAAAAAAGTTTTATGTTTCTCTATAACAAGTTTGAAAAGAATATTTCATAGAAACGTGCTCTTGTAATGTCTACTTCAGCAAAACCAGAAACGTTCAATTCAGTCTGTGTACGTAAGACAATTGTGCTTTTTAGGTTTTTTTTACATGTATTTCACATACAGTCTTTTTGATAGATTTAACATCTAAGAACCTGAGTCACTCTCACCTTTAAGTTCTTCACACCTTTAAAGGGAAAGGAAATATTGGAAGCAGTATTAACAAAGGAATACTTGCATATATAAACTTTTACTGTCATAAATTACCACACTGGGTAGATCTTGTGGCTGTGTTCTGCTTTAATGTGCTCCCTGTTCGTAATTTTACATACTTACTATTGTGCTAGTAGTGCCTTTCATTCTGTTACTTAATAGTCTCTGTTCATTGAATTCTGTTTAGTTTGGTGAAAAGGCCAAGAGTCCCACAATCTCTGCTCTGAAAAGTCATTACTGATGGGTGTAGTTTTTCTTAGTCAATGTCAATTTGCAATTCTTCCATAGTGATACTGCATTTTCTGGCAAAATGAAGGTAGCCTTATGGGACTGCTTTGGCAGTGTCTTTTGGAAAGCTGTTCCATTTATGGTACATGATTACATTTTTACAAATTGAATGGAATAAATATTTATCTCTGCAATGAAAGTTTCACAGACATACATTAGATGTGAAATAAATGGAACACTTTGAGTATAAAGCGTGTAAATACTGATGGATTTTCTTTCAAAGAAAAGATTTGTGTATTCTACCCCATCAGATGTGGTCCAAAAACATTCCTTTTAAGTGCTAAGGTGAATATATCTTCACTAAGTGTACGCAGTTGGTTTGAATGCCGTCGTGGAGCAGAAGATCAGATGCCCACGCTTTGTCTTTACTGTGGAATTCATAATTTCCCTGACAGAACAAAAAGAATGCAAACAATTTTTTGTTTAAGCAGTGCTTCAGATTAGTACAGGAGCAACTTAGGTTTTCTCTTGTATTTGCGTGTGATGATCTTAAATACATGGTACTACAGCGTTCTTCAACAAAGAAGCTAGTAGTTCTGATGACAATTATTTATTGCATTAGTGCTGCCTGAATGCTCCGTTTTTGGTTGCTAGCTGTCAAGTCCTAGGACTCTCGCTTCAGCTCCTCTGCTTGCTTTTAAATGCTGCTGGAACTTTCAACTATCCGATCTTTGAGTTGTTCTTGTTGTGGTGACGATTCACTAGATCAAAATTTTACTGTGCTATGCATCTAAAATTGCAGAGATTAGGGAGAGCGCTGCTCATACTGGAAAAATAGAAGTCCTTCAAAGGAGCAATAACAATTTTTTTTCACTGATTTCTCTTGTCTTTCTTGCATTCTCCATTGTTGAATTTGTTTGAAGGGGATAAGGCAGAAGTTGTTATAAATTGTTAATACCTCTACAATATTTTCCCTTGCTTGAAATGGAAATTGTACTTTGATTTTTGTACCTTATAGTTGAGCATGGTTTTTAAATTTGTAAGCTTTAATTGAGTTCTATTTGCTTTATATCTGTGCCTTTAATTTTTCAATCCCTTTCCATCTGCAGTTCAAGACTTTCTGTGGGATCCTGTTTTTCAACTATATTTTTGTAATGGGAAAAGAGCTTGATTTTAATAAATGCACGATGTCATTAGGCAGGAAGAACTGGTAGATAAACATATGAAGAGGGCTAATAAGCCTCAGAATGGGGCAAGGTGTGGGAAAGAAGGGAGAGCACTAAATTGTGGTGTGCCTTAGGAGACCAAAGAGCTGTAGGCATGAAATAAAGTAGCTGTGATTCTGAAGATCAATGACATTTCACAAGATGATCAGTCTAACTAACTGCTCACCACTGCAATGTGACAGTGGCCAAAGTATCACATACTGTCTATGCAGTCCTTTTCTTCCTTTCTGCTAACTCAAGAGCTCATTTAGAGCATCTAGGATTCAAAAATTATCTACCTGGGGAGTGGATGATTTTCTGCCAGTTTACTGAACTAAGCTGAGTTATTGAAGTTCATGGGAAATGCCAGCACTACTTCAAAGAGAAAGGGGGATGGGATGGTGAGGTTCTCCTTCAGCTGATGCTTGAAAACTCTTCTGCAAATAATGGCATGGAACTTGTCAAGTGCATATAGGAAGAATGAATCAATAGGATGGACTGAAACCTGGATGGAGGGAAAAAGCTTTGCTGGTTATTTTTGTAAAGCAGTACAAGCATGGCAGTAAGGACTTCAGAGCATTCAAGTAATAGACTGCTGTTTCTAAGTATAATAAATGTTGCAAGTAGATGTCATCTACTTAAATGCAGTTAAGTCATTTCTAATTGTATGCCATATGCAGTTTTAAAACAACATTGTTTGGCTTTGTACTGTGCTGTAATAGCCTCTAATTTATGCTTTTATCTCTTTTATCTCCAGGAGATGCTCTAGTTGCTGTAAATGATGTTGATGTGAATTCTGAAAACATAGAAAGAGTTTTGTCTTGCATTCCAGGTCCTATGCAGGTACAGTTAAACATTTATTCCTAATGTCCTTTGTAAAAAAAAAAAAAAAAAAAAAAAAGCATTTTCCTTCAGAAAAGTAATTTAGGTGATCTTTCTCTCAGATGAGGAAGTTCTAGTTTTTGACTTAATTCAGTGAGATGTGTAGTCTGACAGTAGAATGTATGAAGCAAGCTACTGATGTATAGCTTGCATAGAACAGTCAGCTTTGGAGTGGCAGTGAATGGATACAGTGCTATTTTGTTATCCTTTGGAAATAAGTATGGTAGAGCCAAAGAATGAGGTATAAAAGAATGTATGCTTGGCATTTTAAATTTGATTACATTGTTCTTAAAATAATAATTGCTATATAAATACTGAGATAAAATAATTCATCAGTATAAAAGAATCACAAATACTGATTTAACATGTAGTGCTATTAAAGATTTTTAAGAGGATTTAAATGGAGATATTGATAGTTTTTGTATTTAAATAGAAAAATAGTGTTTAAAAGCTTTTAGCTTAAATGTTTTTAAGGTCTTTCAATACTGAATAGTGATTAAAATGGATATTAAACAAACAAAATAGATAAATAATGTATTTTCTTACAGAATGCAACTACAGTCGTCTTCTAACTGAGCAATAATTTTGGAACTATAATAAACAATTAAATAATAAAGAATTACATCAGTGAGTGCAAATTACCTACAATGTTAGTACCACAAAATTGTTTTCCACATCCTGGTAGACAGAAAGACAAGGTAAAAGTTGTAACTTGGTACAAGACTGATGAGGTTAAAATGAGAGTGTATCTTACACTATGCCTGTAGTCCCGGGTAGTTCTATTCCAGGTAGAATATGAGAGGTAAAAATAAAAATGTTTTACTGTCCTGATATAAAAAGAAGTAGAAGTTTTTTGTTTTGTCAGACATGCTTCTGTTCACAACTTGGTGTAAGTGCCTGTAGAACTGCATCTGCACTTGCAATAAGATTGAGTGCTACAATGTCAGTTTAGGAAGCTTTCCAAGATACTCAACAGTATGAAGCTTGCCTAAGCTACCAGAGTTGTGGTCAGGTATTGGCAGAGGTCCATTGCAGAAAAACCTTGTCTTGCCTGTCTTGGACCAAATAAGGAGTTGATGTAACTATTATTAAATATAGAATGATTAGAAAAGCAGAGATGATATAGTTTCCTTAATTGTATCTTTGCTAGATTAGAGTATACTTATATATTTGTTGCTTAAATGCAGTGCAACCCTTTGCATAGTAGTGATTTTTAACGCAACATTAACATTTATGCTGTCAGTAAATTTGTCCAGTAGACAGTGATTACTTCAACCATAGAACTATTTGTCATGTTGGCTTTCCAAAACCTTTTATTAAAGTGCAATTATTCCTTTTTTACTGTGTAATTTTAGTCAAGCCAAAAGAGTGATTGCTGAAATAGACAAGCGGAGAACTTAAATACATAGTTCTATTTTTTTTGCAGTGTAGAACACTGTGTTCATGCTGCTGAAGAAGCAGAGGGTTGTTGTTTCTAGGATGTAGTAATTAAGATAGCTGTTACACAAGCAAAACTGTTAATATCTTCTCATTCATCATACATTGTGCAAAATGATTTCTCATTCATTGTACATTGCATACATTTTAAAAAGATGCAATTTAAAGCACTCTTAACATCATTATGAGTTAATTAAATAAAAAGCTGAGTCACTGCTCTTCTGGGTTCTCTCTAAAAATTACTGCAAGTAGTATAAAAAATGACTTACCCAACTGCTCTCAGATGCAACGGTTGGCTTAACATCTCTCATTATTGTGTTACCTTTCCCAAATTTTGTTTGTATTATCTGAGATTTGTCAAACTCGCTTTTGGGTACGTAGGGGCAAGAACAATCTGTAAGAGCAGAGTGCTATTCCCTATTTCCCCTGCTCCCACGTCAGAACTGTTCCTGTTTGAGTTCTTGCGTGTCCCTTAGTCAGATGAAGTCTCCGTTCCAGTTAACTCATTTCAAAGTTTTCAGCACTCACTGAATGTGACTGGCCAAAGCATACCCTTCAATCAATGATTGAGACAATATAATAAAAGTTATCTTCTGTGATCTGTGCAATTTTACATTTCTGAAATCAAAATAGATGCTACTTAATTTGATGCTGATCACTGCTTATGTGTTCTCTTTCTTCTGTAGCTTTATTCATTAACATTCATAGAACTTGATATTACTTCTCATTTTTTAAATGTATTAAAAAAAAAAATCAGAACCTGTATTCAGGCAGACTTGAATAAGCTTAGTGATTTATTTTAATCTAGCTCAGTTCTGTGCATTCAATGAAATTACTAAATACACATAGATGACAATTTATCTGACATAGCACAACAACAAAACAAAACAAAACAACCCCCCCTTGTATCATTCTGTGATCTCTTCTAAGCAGGTAACTTGTAAATGTCCAAAAGGTAATGTACCTTCATTTTTGGTGAGCTTTATGGACAAACTTCCTACAGAAGTTGGTAAACTTTAGAGAAGCTAAATATTGCTCACAATAACGTGGTTATTTTTGTGATTTAAAGATCCAAAAAGGCAATTCTTCAACTTTGTTATTATTGCTCTTTAATATGCAAGAATTAAAATGACATTATGTGCTGTCTGTGACAGGTAGCAGTGATGCTTGTCTCTGCAGCCGCTTATTCTTCGAGGATAAGCTTGGAAGCAGCAGATCCTCTGATATGTTTAACATCACAAGACTGAGGAGAGACTGAATAGGAAGGAGATATGCATAGAAGAATATACTTTTCTTTAACCATATACTTAGAAGTTGCAGTACTTTCTAAACTTTCTAAAAATATTCAGCCTGAGGCAGATAGTCAGAATCAAAAATCTCAGCCTGAATTTTTGAATTATGGTTTGGCAAATCATAAGCACATGGAAAATACAGTCTTAAACAGGAAATGGCAGGCAATCTTGAAAGGCAGGCAATGCCACCAGTTCTGCCTGTAATAAAGTCCATATTCTCAAGTGTACGGCTTTCTTACAGATAAACGTAAAGCATGCCTTTCTGGAATAGACTATAAGTGTAACAAGAATATTTTTCAATGTATTGACACTGAAAAATATTTAGATAAAAAGTATTAACAGAAAAGTCAAGTATAGAAGGATTCTTGCATCATATTTTTCTGGGTTCCAGCAGTTCTAATAACAACTTAGGGACTTGCTGGATCACATATTAGTTTCTAGCTTATTTTAATTTACTTCTTAAAATTCCTTTGACTTCCACAGCATCCTATAGCAGTGATTTTAATTAACTGATTTTTATATTCTGTTCCTTTCTGCTGGCTTTCAAGCTGCTTCCTAGTAAATGCTTTTAATGCCTACAGGTTCCAGTGCCAGGAATAACAGCTGTCTGTATCTTCTAATTCTTCTTATCATTCTGTGATTTTGGAGAGCTCTGTCATGTTTAACTTCTGTCTCTTCTTTCCTAAGCTAAAAAATCCCCATCTATGTACCTCATTATTGTCACTTTCATCAGTACCTTCTTGCAGTTAGACAATTTTTTTTTTGAGAACTCTTATAAGTATTGAGAATATATACATGTTGTATATTTATGGAGTGGAATATCAATATTTTCTGTGCTTTTTCCAATTCTCCATTTTGAATTTTTTTTTTTTCCCTGTATTCTGCTGCATATTGACTTGATTTTCTTAAGAGAACTGGAGGCAGAGCTGTGAAAGATTTCATACTCAGTACTCACAGGAGAGTTCTTCATTTGTCACCTATTTAATCAGATCTTGGTACATTGTTGAGGACAGAGCTTTCTTGTAGAAATGTAGTCCCTTGGTCACATTCTGTTACAGCAATTTCTAGCCTCCATGATCTTTTTCACAGCGATTTTTAAAAGGCTAAATGTATAGTAGAACTTGGATGAGAGTTGCTATATAGAATCTAGTAAACTTGGAAGGGAACAGGAAGCCAAATTATGGTGAGAGACGTTTCTCAAAATGTAGTGACGCCTCGTCTGAGTGGCATAGCATTGCGTGCAGCCATGTGGGAGGCTGCAGGAGGAAGGAGAGTTACAGTTTTGTTTGGCCCAATTCATTTGAGCTCTTGCTTGAAGACCAGATGGCTATGTCTCTAAGACAAGACAGAGATTTTTTTAGTTTGAGAGGCCAAAAGATAGACTGCAGCAGGAATTACATCTGTGCATCATTAGTGTAGGAACTGTAGCCTAAGTGTTGTAAGTTTCCACAGACAAGATGTAGTAGAAGTTAGTAGAAGGAACTCTTGAATCTTGAGGAAATCTGCAAGAAGTTAAGCAGGGTATGAAGAAAATCCTCTGAAATACATGCAGATGGATTGACGTAGAAAGAGAACTGAGTCACAGAATGCTGCAGAGGGAAACACTACAACTGTGAACGATCGAGTTACTGGGTCATAAAAAGCTGCTGCTGCTTAGCTGGATGCCAGTACTCCTTGAGTCCTTTTAATACATAGTGCATTGCATTGAAACTGAAATGATGAGGAAAGAGCGCGGGATGAGTTGCTGTCAGAAAAAAAAAAAAAGGTGGCACATGACAGGAGAGCATGATGGAGTGCAGTGCCTTTCCAAAGAATGGGAAGAGAAATGAGGGGAATAAAAAGCTGACAGCAGCCAAAATAGGCGAGGAAAAGATTAACGAGTAGTGCTGGGAGGGAATAGAGTGGGATGGGGAGAAGGCAGCACATGACACAAGCGGTGTAGCTAGAAGAGAGGATGATGGCATGTCTCTCGGATCTAGTTGGACAGGCAGTGAGTATTTTAAAGCATTGCAGTTTCTTGCTGGCACTCCTCTCAAGGCTTGTGTATGCACATACAGGCAATTATGAAAATATAAAAGTATCTATATTTAAATGTATAAGCTGCCTCTATTTAGGCTTTTTGGATGTATTGCAACTGGAAAAAAAAAACAACTTTAATTGCACTAATCATTACGCTAAGTCGTCACTAACAGAAGTGGGGATTTGGTGTTCTGCATTGTTTCAGATCTGCCAAGTCAGCAAACATTTTAAGGTTATTTTAATGCAGAGAAACAATCTTATATGAAATGAAGAACTGAGAGTGTGCCTACTTAGTTTTGCTGTCCAGTGAAAATTTATTTTCCTGTTCAATTGTACCTGCCAGCATGCTCAAAACAGCAATGAAATATCCATGAAGGAGCCTTGCGGATATATATGTACAGAAGTGCCACTATTTAGAGTCAAATGTAGTGTATGTTTAAAAATGGTGGTAATACGTTTTGTGTTCAAACTAACTTAGAACAGTAAGTATATTTTTTCCATTCTCAGGAAATTCTCAAAACCATAAAAATTGAGAATGAAAACACACCAAACCACATGCTTATTTATATGGCTCACGGAGCATATAATAACAGGCTTTGTTGTTAATAATAAATGGTTACGTAACACTGAGTATATAATTGTTTTTCCTTAAACAGCAGCAATTCTTGAATGCTTTCATCTTCTACAGATGCTTACAAAAATTTAGCATTGTGCCACGTAAAAGTTTACCCTTTAATAAAGCTATGAAAATGTCTCTTAAATGTCTCAAACTACGTCCCTCTTATCTGATGTTAGAACGTAATTGTAAATGCATCATCATTTTCACAATAATTAATTGTTTTAACAGGTAAAACTCACATTTGAGACATCGGTATTTGAACCTGAAGGAGCCTCTCAGCAAAGGTATAAGCAGGAACAGTCAAGTATGAACAACCTGGTTCGGCTTTTGTGGGGGGAAGACAGCATGGGCCTTCAACAGGCTGTACAGAGCATTCCTCATATTGTTATGTTCCTCTCACTGAAACTGGACTCTGAAACATCTAAGGATGAGGTATGTGGCTAACTAGGAAAAGTGAAGAGGAAGGGTGAAAACTGACGGCAATGAATGCTATGCCTTTTGATACTAAAAGAAATGAAATCTGCTGATTAATTGGAGTAATGAGTAGTCTGCCAAATGTCTGTTTTGACAGAAATAAAGCCTGAAATTTCGGGGGGGAGGGGAAATGCCAGCATCACTGCAGACAAACTCGAATTGGGCTTAAAATCACTTCAACACCACTGTTTGTCTTGATAAAGAGAACAGTCCAGATGTAAACAGAGAAAGTAGAGGCAAATTCAGAATTTCATTATTGTCTCTCAAATGCTCACTGTGACATTTTCAATACAGACTCAAACTGGATGTATGAAATCTGCCTAATCAAAAAAGCCTTTTCCTCAGCAGGAGCTGTTGGCAGTCCCCATACATAATCTTTCTAAACAGTCCCCTCCTGTTTAGAAATGCTAATCTGCCTTTCCTCAGAAGAGTCTTGCATGTCTGCTGTTTGCAATTGACTGTTGATTCTTGCTTGGGCAATGTTTTTTCAGCTACCAAAGTACTCTTTCTTTGTCCCATAAAATTTCACATCTCTTTCCTTTTGTGTTCCTCAGAAAAATTTTGCCAGTGTACGTATAGCCTTTTTTAAGTTTGTGTAGATGTTCCTGATGTAGCCATAGCTACAAATGTTCTGTTCCACATGCTCGGCAGATACAGAACAGAGTGGAGGGCTGAGCTTGGCCTCTTGCCTGATCAGAAAATGACTGGTGGCCAACGTGCACTCTTCAGGAGCAGACATTTGGGAAAAGACCCTTGTCCCCTTATGTAATTCTCCTCACGTTTAGCACAGGGCCCTGTGACCTTTATGATCTGTGCTATGGATGAAGCAGTTTTTTCTAGTCTCCAAGGTCTCGTATAGCAGGACAGCAACAGTATGCGGAGCAGAAAATAAGACAGTTTTGTTTCCCTCCTGGAATGAATGCTAAGATCCAGGCAGTGCTCCATCGCTTCTCTGGAATGTCTTTATCTTTTTAATACTTTTTTCAATTAATATGTGTCTGTATTTCTCTGATAATCTACAACAGAGAAAAAAGTGTTGCAATTATACTGAATGGAATTTTGTTTTCTAGAGACATGACTAGGGAGGAGAACCGTAGAAAATTGCATATAATGATACCATTAAAAATACAGTATGCAGAGTGAAATGCATGAAAGCTAGAAAATGACAGATTTGTGACTACTTGTGCAACTTTAATTGAGCCAATTAGTATGTATGCAGCATGACATTGTCCTTTCTTTTGAAAGATGCTAGGCTTGCACAGAGCCCAAGATGGGCAGGTGGGTGTGTATAGTTAAGACTTACTAGGCAACCATAAATTCAGTACTTTGTAAGTCTGCAGAACTTGGCTTTGCAATATAAATCACTTTTTTTTCACTCTAATACTTGTAAGGTACCACATGCTTCATTATGTATTGAGACTACATGCTAACACTGTCAGCTTTGGTTTGCAGTTCTTTCTGATCTCATTTAAGAGACTACAGATTTTCATAGCAGATATTTTCATCAGAAATTAGTTTATATCAATGTCACTTACAAATTTTTAGTAGCCTTCCATGTTTTTATCTCCACCATGAGACTGCTTCCATTAAAACATACAGTACCATAGTATTTATCTTCTCTGTTATTTACCTCTAATAAAAATAAAAAAACTAACAAATAATTTTAAGATGCTTTATAAAAATTGACTTAGATGTTACAAATACCTCATCTACCTTAAGCTCTTGGTTTGTCCTACGTTACATGTACAGGACATTCATTGGGCAACTGCTATAGACTTAGACCAGTGTTTTCTTACATAAATTTTATGAAATATTATAAAAAGAAGCAAAGAAACAAAGCAATTCCAGGTCTCTGGTGGGTAAATAGATATGCAAATGCCTAATGGCAGTTCCTGCACCTCAGAGTAAATGAGCGGTGTTTTCTTGCCCCATTATTTCTCTACTTTCTCCCAAGAAATGGGATTAAGCCTGAATGTTGAGTGGAGGTAAAAGAAGGATTGTAATGCACTTGTCCTCCTTTCACACCATGGAAGAATTGTTTCCTGATAAGTCTTGGCAGTTATGCAGCCCTAAATAGGCTCTGATGTTGAGATATGCTTTGCTGGTATAACCAAGCCCTTTTTGTAACACATATTAAAAAAAGAATGTTAACTTTTTCAGGGAATTTCTTTCCTTTTCACGTAAACAGTACGTGACATTTGTGATGTAGAGGTACTATTCCAAATTTAGTTTACGTTAGTTCAAATTATCATTGAATTATTATACATTCATGCCATCTTGCACAATGGAAAAATATAATGATCCTTCACTAAGCTTCTCTACCCGTATCCTAAAAGCAGGTATGCAGATCACATCTTTATAAACAATGGCAACTTGAGCTAGTTACTAATTCTTCCACTTGTGAGCTTTTGGCACCCACAAATAGATTTAATGATCTCTAAGACTTGTAAGCTTTATCTAAAAGTCTACAGGAAAGCAGCCTTAGACAGTATTTGTGAGTGTGTGTGTGTCACGAGTCCCAGATGATGATGGTTTGATCTCACCTTTTACGGTTTTAACTCCAACTATGCTGATTATAGTATACAGTATTTATACCAACATATGTTATTTGCATCACCAAACATTATATTATCTTTATGCATTTGAATGATTTTTTTAATGATGCCGTATGAAGTTCATATTCCTTCCACACGATAGTTTTACTGTTATAAACTGTTATGTAAACATGAAAAGTAGGTATTAAGGTAAGGTATTAAGATATCTTAGTTCATGCAGATGCTTGTATTTCCTGGGGCATTTCACTCAGTTTTTATAATTTCTAAATGAATCTTTAGGAGTGCACAGTGTTCTTTTAACCTACTGTTTCTTTTTTTTTTTTCTTTTTTAACGTAAGGAGTAACTTAAGGCATCTATTGTCAGTGCACTGTGAAGGCTGTAAATTTCCTGCTGGTCTGCATTGTTCTGACACAATTCCATTTCATTTGTTGTCGAGGTTGCAGTGAATGGAGGGGAAAAAAGTCTGTTAAGATTTAGCTTGAGACATAAATAAAATAGTAATTTAAAAAGGAGAAACTATTAAGTAAAAGGCTAAACTTCAGTCTAGATGCTGTGCCTGGGTTTCGGGTGTTCAGTTTGGTGTAGGATTTACAGTTTTCTTCTAAATGAGCTGCTTCTAATTTAGTAATTCCATTGTCTTTGCCCTGTGAACTTTAGGATAAAGTGATACTTTTCATTTTGCTCCGAGGACAGCTGATCCTGTATGCTGATATGCACTGAACCTTGCTAGTTCATTAATATAAATATGATTCAGCTATGGCCTTTTGTTACAGTTGTCTTTTCTTTTCCTGGGAAAATGTTCAGATAATTCTCAAATGAATTTTGCGTGAAAGACCCCATTCATAGTGAGGAGAGAAAAAGAGAGAATGTTTTCTTTTTAGCCCTTTGTAGTGCTGTAATTAGAAAGTGGTGTTGGTTGTTTTTTTTTTTCCTGTTGAGGGATTGATTTAAGAAAAAAATCCATGTTACTAATGACTATTTGAAAGTAAAGCTAATTAAATTGGATAAGAATGAAGAGTTTGCCAGGTCTGTCTACAATGAAACATTAATTTAATCGTGATGAAGGAAAATTTTCTAACGGGTATTGGCACCGAACAATAAAATAGCAAAGTTAATCACATCAGGGTTGCTTTTGTTTGTGTAGAAAAATAATTTAGTGTTCTCATTGTGTTGGATGGGCTGAACGTTACACATCATGATTTGCCAGAAAGCAAAACTGTGTAGAATCACACGTTTGCTAATTAATGTTCTATTGTTATGGTGCCTGAAGTAATTAATATACAATTTTGGAGCATGCTTACATAATATATATATTTTTAAGAACCAGTAAGAAAAATACCAATAACTGCCATGAGCATTCATCCTCACTGATCGTCAGTTTCAACCCAACCTTTCTAAGAGAGTGCCAATAAATACAGTCAGAGCTTTGGTGATTAAATCGTTACTGGTGTATACATGATTTGAATATATACCTCAGTTTTATGTTTTGCACATGTAGGGAATAGGTAGGGATACAGGGAGAGATTTGAGTCATCGTGTTCTTACTTGTTGGTTTAAAAGAGCTGTCTGTTCAATGGGCTATGTGGCTCTTAATTCATAGCTTAAATGTTGAAAGAAACAAACAAATGTTAGCAATCTTTTGGAATCAGATTTGTTAACAGTGTACATAAAGCTGTAAAATGCAGTGGGCAAATTGTTTCTCGTTTTTTGTTTCTCCGTATGATACTGATTTACTTTTCCATAAAACAGAAGTTAAGTTGTCAGAAACATTCACTTGTGTTTTAGAACTTTCCAGTGTGTCTGTGCAGATCACTACTTGTTTTGGTACTATGCAAAAGTATATGATAAAAGCTTTCATGTTTAAAAACAAAAATTGATGCCATTAAAAATGTCAGCTTGTTTTTCGGTTTTCTTCTTGTTTCTTTGTTTTTACTTCCCTTATCTAACAGTTAACTTTGTTCACAGCAAGAAATTCTTTATCAGTACCCCATATCAGAAGCATCCCAAAAACTCAAAAATGTGAGGGGAATATTTCTCACCCTGTGTGATATAATGGAAAGTGTTACTGGTGCCCAGATTCTCAGGTAAAAATAGTTGAGATTTTATGTGTTACTTCTTTTATTATTCTATACGTATATGTACAGAAAAATGCACATGGGTCATGCATCCAGCTCTAGACAAAACAAGAACATGTCTCAAATTGGACTGCTCAGTTTCAACGTACATTGATACGTTGATTTGGGGTAATGTCACAGGTATCACTGATTAGGATTTTTAGTTCAGTGTAACTGATTTTATTTTATTTTATCCCTTCTTAGAGCTCTTAAAACATCTTTAGATAAACTTTAAATTTCAGTTGCTTGGCACTGTACATTGGCATACTAGAAATTCAAAAACAGCTTCAATCAAGTTAATAAACCAATATGTAAATATGTAATTCAATTAAATTCATGAGCATCTGCAACTTGAAAATTCACTTTATTGCACATTTAATTTGCAACGCCATAAATATTTTTGTATCCACAGACCAGAACTCTGGTCAGAAGACTGATATAGATGGGTTTGAGTTTTTTGGAGGTGGGTAGGGATGGTGGAGATGATTATATATTTGAAGGCAGACAATTTTATGATGGAATAATTAGGAGTGAGGTAGCAGTTATCTTTTGGTTTCCCACTTCATTCACTGAGAGTTTGTATGTCAGCTCACATCTCCTGGGTGCCTGAGTCACAATTCTCTTCTGCACAGCACTGCCTTCCATGTCACACACAAGATGTGAATAGTTCTGGTGGTTTTGTTTTGTTTTTTTAAAGAGCCAACTGTTAATGGGATTTCAAGCCCAAGAATTTTGGTTCAAGAAGGATGAAGGCGGACATGGTGTACAAATAGTGGAAAATATTGCCAAGAATAGAGAATTTCTTGAAAGGCAGAAAGCCCCTTTCATATGTTTAGGTTGAGTTTTCCACTTATGTTTTTCTCCTGAAAAGGAGTACTTAAATTGTTTTTAAATGCTTTTGTTTACCAGAAAATGAATACTTGCTAATTTACTGTTGTTTACATTTGGTTATTTTCATTTATTCTTTCTTAGACTTGCTAGTGTCGTGTTATTTTGACTGAGAAGTTTTAGCAGTGTTTCTGCCGTGCTTACAAACTTGTAGGTTGTAAAAGCTCATAAAAGTGTGTTACTGATTTAGTGACCACTGCAAATGGAGAACGACTCTTTTAGCAGCAGCTACCAAACACAGGCTTTAGATCTTTTGTGTATGCTAATGTTCCAAAGTAATGCTGCATTAATTAGCACAGGACGCATTTACCACTTTTCAATACTTGTGTGTTATTACGGAAATTCTCTCCAATAGAAGCATTTTTTACTTGTCCAGATCTTGTCTTTTAGATGTCTGAAGTCAATCTATTTGTTGATGATCTGTACGCATGTTATCATCAGTAAGACAATACAGAAATGCATGTTAGAATCACCTTTCCTGTTAAGGTTTTCAATCGCCATTTGTGGGCGAGTTCTAAAAATATAAAAGGACCTCTGCTAGTCTCAAAAGACTGTTTTATATTTTCAAAAAATATAACAGCTCTCTGTGAAGTTCTGTCAGAAGAGAAAGTTATGATAACTACTCAAGTTTTATGCATCATTTGAAATGCGTATGTTTGTTTGTTGTTAATTGCATTATCAATTATATTACTTGTTTTGCTTGGAAAGATTGCTTGAAGGATAAAAATTTTCTGGAGACCTATGGAAATAGTTAGGAATTTCATAACTAATGAAATGACAGTGCTATGGTTTATTCAGTTCCATCAGCTTCTGCAGTATGACTGAATCAGTGGAACAACTTAATCATGGAGTCATTTTTTAAAGCTTAAATTAAAGTTACGTATCCTCTGCTTTGCATCAGTGTTATGTTATTTAAAATTTCTTAGATCATACTAAGAAGAGTCAGGAGATGAAATCAGTGCTTTTTAGTAACTTTTCTAGATGGTCTGTAAAACAGTTAGCTATAAGATGTTATACACAGTAAGTCTGTTGTTTCAAACTCCCATCATAATAGCTACTAACTAGTACCAATGCGTTACCTGTTCACTCACAGGAATCCTAGGTGTCAGAGAGAAATTATTATAACTTAATTTATAAATGAGGAACTGAGTTATAGAATCTATGCTCATAGTCACACAAGTCATCTGTAGCAGGGCTAAAAAATGGATTCTAGCTGTAGTCACAGCTGAGTACATCAACAACTTTTTTTCCCCAGTTTTAGAGCTGCTATAAATTTAGTGTTGGAGATGTTTACAGACCCTGCTTTTAGCAGCAACCAATAAATTGAATTTTATAATCTAATGCATAATATTTTATTTATTGCTCACTAGAACTAACCTTCTGGGGTTGATGAGCTGTGTAGGGCAATTTCCTTACAGGGAGATAGCATGGAGTTCATACTTGTCGCTCAGATAATAGGTCCAAATAGCTCTTGGTCTTGCAATCAAAACCTGCTGTGGGGTCTCTTGAAATTCTTTTGTGAGTAAGCATTAGGATCTCGGTGTCACCTGAAATGGCATTCACTTTCTAAATTAACTGTATTAAAAGCTAGCCAAGGGCATCATAGGAAGACCTTAAGGAAGCATCTGAATCAATTCTCTGAAGAAAAGTGTGCTGCTTCAGTAACGGTTATTCCGCCTTCATGCTTGTACTTGAAAATGTTATTACTACTGCTGTGACCTCTGACGTGGAGTAGAAGTCAGAGGGTCTTTTGAGTTTTCTAATAATTAACGTAATTATGTATTTTAATTGCATGCATGTCATTTTATATGAGCATAAGACTTTATATATATGATACATATGTTCCAACTTGGAAGGTGATTTTATTTTATTTTATTTTTACAACTTCATAGTGCTAACAGAAGTACTTCTGGCTTTTCTAGTTCCTCCCTTTTCTTATGTGAAAAACTAGTTCAAGTTGTTTACTGGAAAGAATGTGACAAGTTGCTTGTGATTGGCCTTCCTGAAGAAAAGTGAGTTTCAAACACAGTATTTTCTTTCTAACTTTGTTTTACACTTTTCTCAAATACCAACCTCAAATTCTACTGTTCTGTTATCAAAGAACAAGGAAGGGAGGGCTTACAATGTTCTCTTCTTACTTTAGTTAGATTTTACAGCTAGGATCCCACTGTTTGGATTGACTTTGCTTGCATCTTTTAAATACCCCTGTTACAGTTTCTTCTTCATTCCCTGTGAGGGGCATGCGGTCTTAGTAGATCTCCAGAAATACATATAAGCTGTAACAGTCACTTTCACTGTTTTGTGAAGTCATGCCTTGATTAGAGACCACTGAGTAACAGTAGTAGTATTACATATTTAGGTGTTCTAGAAGTCAAGAACTTTGGAATATTTTCTTCCAGCTTTACTACTATGTCTGTGTGATCATGAGCAAGTTACTCAAAGGAAACTTCTCATACAGTCCTATGAAATAATTTTTGTTTGCAAATATATCACTGGTTGTGGAGACTCTTGAGAAGATGCCTATGCACATTCACAGTAGATAAGGACATTATAAACATAAGCAAACGTTTTATTGTTATTTTTTATTTTTAGTGTGTCACTTACCCAGCTGAGAAACATGATTGAAGATGTTGTCAAGACCTTAAAATTTATGTACAGCTCTTTAGACAGGTGAGTTATTTCAGAAGTATTTTCTTTTCAGTCACTAGTTTTTAGTTGATGCTCATGGAAAAAGAGCATTAATTTCTAATAATTACATTGATTTTTTTTGCCTGTTCTCTTACCTTTGCGCAAAACCAGGATTCTGTTCTTCTTACTTTTTGTTTCATTCTTAAGACTCTTCGTAAAACTCTTTTAAAATAGTCTTCGTTATTTCAGAAAATGTTGTCCATGATTAGGTTAAATCATTCACATAACCTAAGTCACTCTGGATGTCAACAGTACTCTGCAAATGTGTTAAACCACTGTCTGCAAAATGTATATATGAATCATAGTGTTATATTTGTAATAAAATAAACATTCTAGACTTCTCAACTTTATTTGGCAGAGTAAATGTCTTTCTCTACATTTGGAAATTACCCAGAAAAATTTCAGTCTGACTGTAACCTAAATAAAATTGCCAAGGTGGGCTATTCATATGCTTGCATTCACTTCAGGATTGAAGTGTGTATGCCATGGAGAAAATCCTAGCATTTCTATTACTTTTGTGCTGTTCAGGACAGAAAAATATTTTAGGCAGAACAGCCTCATGTAATGCCAAGTCGTAGCTTTTTCTCATAGCATTTGTAACAACAAGGAGCAACTTATATTTGTTATACTTGAAGCAATTTAAATGCATCTCAGAAAAAAACGTTAGCTTTGAATGTGGAGGATAAAGGACTTGATTTTTCTGTAAGTATAGGAGATCATTTGGAATAATAGAGGTTTTTTTGTACCTTCTGAAGAAAATAGTCGTACAACACAGAGATCTATAACACATAAAAATAGTTAAATAAATTATTAAAATAAAGAAAAAGAATAATCTGATTTTTTTTTAAATGCGAAGCTGATCATTGCCTCATCTTATGTTGCTCTAATAATACAATACTGCTTTCAGCACGGCTGTTTCTTCTTTGTATGTATGTACTGTCTGAGTATTAGCATAGCGTTTGCTTAAAAGGAACGTTAAAAAATCCAAATGTAGTTATCATGCTGTAAAGAGGCTTCGACAGCACAGAGGGTTATATAAACAAGCTACAAGTTTCTTGATGATATTTTAACTTGCAGTTCATGTTTGTTCAGTGCTTTTTGCCAGGTGGAACATGTTTCTCGTCTGGATCATTTTTTCAACCTGTTCTTCCAGCGAGCACTTCAGCCTGCAAGACTTAACTCAAATGCCAGCCCCAGTGTTCAACACTACACTACCTGCAGTGCATTATTCTTAGACAGTCTCCCAGGCTTGCGCTGGCTGACTTTGCCTCAGGAAATCAAGGTGATCTTGTTTTCAGATCTCTTTAGAACTTGTCTAAGTCAAGCCAGAAAACTAACACAGGTCTTGCATATATCTTTTGCTGACACTGTGTAATATAAATTTGGGCTGCCTATTTTCCTACAGGACCTTTCTCTTAAGTTTAAAGCTATGCAGTCGTTTACATTGGAAACAGAATGCTATTACATATGTAGTTCAATGACTTCAGAGTTACCTAGGAAGAGAACATGATGATAAAGCAATTAAGATTACTTTTAAAATGTAGATATCTAAATGTAGATATGTCATAAGGAAAGCACGTCATGGTATGTAGCTTTATGTTTGATTCGTTTGATTTACATAAATGATGAGACATTTAAAAAGTACTAGCAGTTAAAATTCTACTACTATAGATAAAACAATACTCCAGAAACTCATGTATAACTTGTGATTCAGGAGACAATCTTATTAACCTTTATCAACGCATTGAGTTACACAAAGGGAATAGTATGCAATCACCAAAGAATGTAAGGGAAAACTTGTGAGAAATGACATTTAGGACAAATGCTGGCAGTTGTGGCTTACATGCAGCAAGTTACTCTGAAATGTTTTCTTTCTTTTCTGATGTTTTTTTCTGTTACGTATGCAGATCATCTTTAACTCAGTCTTCTGTTCTTTATATTTTCTGTTAATTCTGATCTCAAATGCTTTAATAACATAACTGTGCATGTATTTGTTTGGAAATGAACCAAAAGACTTCTGGTATCTCCTTCAAAGGGCAATTTGCAATTTTTTTTTTCTGTTTCTGTGCTACAATTTGTTATAATGTGATTTAGTATCACTATTTAAGGGTTATGTTTTCCATGGAGAGCATTGTTAGAACATATTTTGATCTCGCTGTAGGTTCAGATGTAGATAACAAGGTCTTGTTGGGTGCAGTTGGCTGCCATATTTTCAAATATTCTGCAAGTACAGAAGTTAATCTGCACTTTGAAAACATGGAAATCAATAAATGATTGCTTCTATGTTGTTATTTTGTACTTGAGCAGTGTCCTGCTGTATGCTTCCCCAGTCAAAAACAGAGCTGTATATTACTTTCAAAATATAGAACTGATAATGAAATATAAAAGCAATCTTCTTTCTGAACCACGTAGTCAGTATATGAATGAATCTCAGTTCTGTACCTTCTCCAGGGCACATACAGCAAACCACTGGTTACAGGGGAAAAGACTTACATATTTTGACTGTAGATTAGGAAGCAAGCCTATAGATGTTTTTTGGAGTATGCTACTCCTAAAGTGCAGCATATCACTTCCTCATTGTGATTTTATTAACTTTATAAGTGACTTTTCTTATTCTTTCTGTTATTTCAGCCTGTTTTATGCCTACTAGCTGTAAGTACAAAATCTGATGCGAACATGAAAAAACAGTTTCTATTTCAGGAAACTTATTTCCCAGGACAGTGGTTAAAAGTAGTTTTGGAGATGTTTTATATGTAATTATGTAGAATAATACTAGTTCTGAATTGCTAAGATCTTTGGATCTCTAAATGTCCTACAAGTTGCAGCTGTATTAGGAAGATAAGGTCTATTAATACTTTGAGAGAGCATTTCAAGAAGTAGAGGATTTTATCTACATCATGTGTAGTAGCTTCATATAACTCTCCTTCTACTGTTCCTAATGTGCCATGTTTCTTAACTGTTTCCAGAGTTTTCAGAATCAGGTGAAATGTTCATATATTCCATGCAGCAACTATTTGTTCCATTAGTGTGAAGACTTCGGGTAGCACTTCTGTTACACCTGTGATATAAATTACTACAGTTGAAGTGCTAATCTTCAACTCCTGTTATTAGTGGGAAAAAATCTGGCAATTCAACTGATTTACTCCAGCTTTTTGCTTTAGTATTAGATGAATAATGTCTTAGGACTCCAATGCAAAGCAGGACTCTTCTGCATAAACTATGAAGCCTGAATCGAAAAGTCTAGCTCAGAAAGGTACTTCTATACTGTAGGTATCATTCAAAGACCTAAATGTATGTCTAGACAGCTAATTACTTTGTAAATCTATTGATCTTTAATGAGACAGATGCATTTTAAAATTGAACCACCTTTTCTATTTAGAACAATCACGTTGGCATATAAGCACTCTAATACCTAGTCAGGCTCCAGTTGAGAAAGTAACTTTCCATACAGTGCAGATGTTCTTTAATAAACTTTAGTGAATCGAGGAATCATTTTTGCTTTTGTGATTTTCAAATATGCTCAACTCTATATTAGGAAATTACTTTCCATTCCATGTGAAGAGCAGATTGCATATCATATTTATGTGTGAAGGAGAATTTTAGTCAGACCTCTGCTTTTGTAGTATATGCTTTAATGACAGAAGTACATGTTGTGCTTGACCAATCTCCTTCTCTGACTGGGTGACCGGATTGGTAGATGAGGGAAAGGCTGTTGAGACAGTCTACCTAGACTTCAGCAAAGCTTTTGACACAGTCTCCCACAGTATTCTCCTGGTGAAACTGGCTGCCCATACCTGGCCTGGACAGGTATACCCTTCTTTGGGTAAGGAACCGGCTAGAGGGCCATGCCCAATGGGTAGTAGTTAATGGAGTAAAGTCCAGCTGGCAACCTGTTACAAGTGGTGTCCCTCAGGGGTCGGTACTGGGGCCTATCTTGTTTAATATCCTTATTGATGACCTAGATGAGGGGATTGAGTGTACCCTTAGTAAGTTTGCATATGACACCAAGTTGGGAGGTGGTGTCAATCTGCCTGAGGATAGGAAGGCCCTTCAGAGGGATTTAGATAAGCTGGATTGTTGGGCTGAGGTGAATGGAATGAGGTTCAATAAGGCCAAGTGCCGGGTCCTACACTTTGGCCACAACAACCCCATGCAGAGCTAGAGGCTTTGGGCAGAGTTTCTTGAGTGCTGCAGGACAATTGCTTTCATCTCATTATCCCAGTTATATCTGCTATCCAAGTGAAAATTTGTGAAGAGTGCACACAGTCCTTGTAACACACCCATTCGCTCTCTTGCAAAATCCATGCTCTGTAATTGAGGGGATTAAAATGTTTATGCAATTCCTAGTTGTAAAACGTGTTTAGTCAGCACTCTGATGTATGTTACAAATGTTACTCAGTGGACCTCTATTATCACACATTTTTTTCCTGTCAAGAAAATGATATTTTTATTTTCCTGTACTATTTGGTGGTGAACCTTTCTTTTCCTCTGTGCTTTTTTCCTTCTTTCTCACATTTCTGCTGAGAGAGACTGTAATGCTTCAGTCTCTAATTTAGCCTGCAGGTTGTTTACCTTCTTATAAAATGACAGGGTTTTAGAGGGATTTACAAAACAACTTATTTTAATGTGTATGACATGAACATGGATTTCCAGAATTATCTTAGATCATCCACATCTGCAAGATTTTTTTTTTTCTAGACAAAGAGCAAATTTCTGGTAGATAAATTTAGTGACGATGTTTTTTATTTGTGTATTCTTCGGAGAATACAAATGTTAGTTTTTTTGTTGGGCAGAAAGCCATTTACATTTTAAATGAGGAAAAAGCTGAGATGTTGGGTACTTGTTGACTGCCAACAGTGTAGCTGACATTTCTGTTTGTGAAACTGGCTGTATTTCAATTAGAGTCAGCTTGTTTAAACAGCCCAGGGAACTTGTCATAGTGGGTTGTAAGTTCTTTTTATTAGTAGCGCATTTATGTCATGAACTTCAGCGGCTACTGACATGTTCTTTAAAGCAATGTATTTTTAGTAAAACTTGCATTAACCAACAGCTCCTGCATGAAGAGAAATTGCACCCACATAACACAGTTTCAGTAGAACAAAGATCATATGTTAGAAAGTTTGGGAAATTTCCTTTGAGGTAAAACCAATCCATTGTGGAAAAAGATTTTTCTAAAAACTCAGTTGGATATAGTAGCTTGGCAGATCTCAGTGTTGTCTCTTGCCTTCAAGGAGTAGTCTCTAGACTTCATGTTTTAAAACATACTGAAACTAAGTGTGACATCTTTATATACAGCATAGTGGGTTCAGGAGGCATACAAGAAGAGACATTTTAGTTTTAAAGAAGAGGGAAATGCATGGCAATTGAATATTTTTCTTTAATCTGTTGAATTGAGGTGCTCTTGATATTTGATATTGCTGTTAAAAAGTAAAAAGTGCATTTTTGTCCATTCAATTTTGTACTTGTGAATTCTAATCCTCTGAGATTAGCAAGATAAAGTGAATTATGCTTTTACTGTAAATTAGTGTGTTAAAAACACCTACTAAAATGTACTGCTTAATATTTCAGATGGAAATTGACACAGCACTGAGTGATCTTGAAGCAGCTGATTTTGCTGAACTGGTAAATATTTACTTTTGTTGTTTGCATTGCACAGTACCTCTTTGCCTTTCTCATATTCAGTAGCTTAAGAAAAGAACTAGTTACTCAGCCATGCTTTGTAAGCAAGTGGGATTCAAAGCAAAGGTACACTGTGTTATTCCTGTTTTAAGATAGATTGATGTTACCCATTTTCTTTGTCCTGAATTTTACTCAGTGGTTAATGTTATAACCATAACCATATTATAATCCTCTAGGATTAGTCACTGAATAAACATGATTCACTGTAATTTAAATCCATGGGTTGTCTACAAGGACACTTCTAATCTCAACAAACTTGTTGGTTGGTTGTTCCTTTTTTTTTGCATGAGTAACTGTCTCCCAAGTAATTGTGAATACTACAAAAAGTTTCAGTGGAACACTGAGAACTTAACTTAATAGTTTGAATAAAGCAATTACAAGTTATGCATAATCTTAAAGGAGAAAATAGTAATTTACTTGAGCATATGCTTTCTACTTGGTGAACAGGATGGTGAGATGTAAATGCACTGAAATCTTGTTCAGATAATTGATGATGTTAAAAAAACAAGTTAGGCAGACATATAGTCAGTCTTTCATAACAAATTTTAAAAAATGGTACCAAACAGACTGGATGAATATTTTCAGAAGAGGTTGGTTCTAAGTTGTATTTTATTGCGAATAAATTGATTGCACCCAATGTTTTAAAATATTGTATATCTACATAAAGTCAGTCTTACTACTCTGAAAACAATGAGTAGCTAAACTAAAAGACTAATGAGTAGGCATATTTGGGGTAAAATTGAAAAAAAACTAGTAAAAATGCTTTGACTTGGAAGTTTTGCTCAGTGAGGGCCTCTGGTGTCAGTAGTTATGCTTCAGTTTGCTGCAAGAATTAGCATCTCTTGAAAAGTTTGTTTATGGACAGATAAGCGCTGGATGAGAAATCTGAGCATCTTATTTTGAGTTGAAAACTATAGTGACATGAAAATTTATAATGTAGGCTAAAACGTTGTATTTAATTTAACCGCTCAAAATATTCTTATTAATGCCATTTTGATGCCCTACTGATATAAGTGGTTAAAAATGAAAATATTAAATAATACTGATTGACTGGAATTAGTTTCCTTGTATTCACTCTGTAAAATAAAAAGCCTGAACTAAAAATTCATGCTTTTGTTCACAGTCTGAAGATTACTACAACATGAGAAGATTATATATGATTATGGGCTCTTGTCTCTTCTACAAGGTAGTATTACTGATTAAGGCCTACAGGTTAGGAAAATAAAACATTTTAAAAATCCTGTCATGCAGAATTCTTCAGAACCTCACAAATACAATAAGTGTATGTTTGCTTTACATATGAAATTCTAGTAACACATCAGAAACACTGTAACAAAAACATCAACAAAAAGATCATAAAGTGTTACGTGCTATATGATCAATAAAACCAAATATTTGTTTGAAGCTGTCTTATGGAAATTCTGTTGCACGTGATGCAAGGATTGAAGAAAGACAGTAATACGAGATGGAAGACTCGCCTGAATTGATTTGGTATATTCTAACAGGATTTTTCTTTGCATTGCTGTTGTTTAATAAAGATGGTCATCTCTCTTTGATCTGTCTTCAAATCAAAGATTTGACAAATTGGATTATCAGCTTTTTCATTTTGGCCTTAATTGTAAATTTATCTATCTTATTAAATGTAGGTAGTGTATTCGACAATGTAAAGACAGAGGAAGATAACACTCTTTGCTTTAAGGAAACTAACTGTCACGCAATTCATCTTTATACCAGTAGTATTATGAGAGTAAATTGTCAGCACAGTGTTTGGGTTGGTTGGTTTGTTTGTTTTTTGTCAACAAGTTTCTTACTGAATACACTTCCTTTTCTGTGTTCAATTAAGGGTTACTTGATTGGCAATCACTTGCCAAAGGAAGATCTCATTGATATAGGTTTATATAGCCAGCACTATTGTCTGTTACCCTTGGCAGCAGAACAGAAGATCGGTCAGTTAGTGATATGGCGGGAAGTATTTCCACAGCATCATATCCAGCCATGTGAAGTGGCAAATTTTACAGGATACACTGAACCCGAAGCAAGATACTTCTTATTGATAGTTGGCTTGGTAAGTACCAAGTTATGTATGCCTCTTTTTGTAGGCTCTGTTTTATTTTTGTGTTTTGCCTGTTGTTCAGCAAGATCATAAATGTCCATGTGTTAATGTTAATTTAGTAATTTTAGGAAATATTCATATTCTATTTGTTTCATGGGACGTTATTTCTTAGGTAGTAGAATTATTTGTATCTTGGTTTTTTTATACTTTTCCACTTCAGTTGGAAATGTTTTACTTTAATGATCCTGTATTTTCAGATAACTCACTGAAGAAATGTTTTTTAAAAGCATTATGTTTTTTGTCTAATATCTGATGAGTGTGTAAACCATAGCTTTCATTTGTGTGGTAACTTAGATAATGTGAAAGGAAAAAGAAAAAACTGCTCTGGGGAGGAGGCAGGGCTCCTGAATATAGTACTGTTTTTTTGTCCAAGCATCTGGTGAGATATAGTACAGTAAAGAGTACATTTTAAATCAAAGGCTAATGTTGCTACCTCCATGTTTACAGAGACACTTTATGCTGTGTGTTCTGCTAGAGGCAGGAGGCTGTGCATCAAAAGCCATTGGGAATCCAGGACCAGACTGTATATATGTAGACCAAGTCAAAGCCACTATACTTCAACTGGAAGGTATAGATGCCAGCATAGAGGAGAGGCTAGATTCTCCTTCCATTCCACCTTTATCTTGTGCTGACTGGTTCCTGCCTACAACACGTGACAAACTGGAGAGCTTAACCACCTCACCTATGCTAAGTAAGATACAAAATGCTTCCAGAACAGAAACTACTCCAGCAAGCAAAAGGACTCTGTTTGGTGATTCTTCCTTAACAACACGTAAGCCAAGTCCTACAAGAAACAGTGGAGGACCTGACCATGGTAATGAAGGTCCTGCAGAAGATGAAAGCAATAATCAACACTCTCTAGCAGATCAGGTCTGAGAACAGAACAGCTTTTGGTGGGCTCGGGGAAAGTGGCAGTTCTTAACAAAATCCACTAACTTAAAACAAGCATAAGTCCCAAAGCAGAGCTGGATAAAATGTCAAGAGCCCCTGAATTCAGTAGAAGAGAATTGAGTTGCTTTGGGAAATTTTGAAACAGCCTCCCAGCTGTCACATTTTTATTTGGATTATCGTTGCTTCTAAATATTTGGTTTTCAGCTGACTAAACTGGGGACAGCTGTGTTGGAATCAGAATAAGTAATTGGAGAATATCCCCAAAATAATAATGGTGTCAACAAAAGCAATAAGAACAACTTGCTGTATGGTTGTACAACTGCTTCTTACCAATTTTGGCCAAAAATAGACTAAAATACGTTTTACATTAATTGATGTGACTGGGGCTTCTCAAAAGCAATGCATTATTTTTATTTTAAATAGGTAATTTCTTTCTTTAATTCTGTTCTTTCCTTAGCTATATTTTCTGTTAGTTCATCCATCTACTTGTTTTTCAGGTTGCTAGAAAAAAACATACCCTACCAAATCCATTTCATTTAGGAAATCTTAAGAAGAACTTGTCAGAGATGGACATGGAACTTTTTAACACTATCAAGTAAGAATTTGTTGGCTTTTAAAAAAAAAAAACAAAAACAAGTGTTTCAATTTAAAAGTTATACATGCATGTTTTTTGAAGATGTACATATCCTGGCATAATTTTATTGTAACCAAAACTTTGCTATGTGAACTCGTAATTAGAAGACTTTCTCAGGAATATTTCAGTGGAATGTAATACATGTCCAACATATATGTGAATGCAGAAATTCAAGTAAATGAAATTTTGGCTCACATACACCTCAGTCCTCCTTGCTGCTTCTAGGTAGGTGAACAAAGGACAAAGAAGCTGTGGCTCTTCCTAGTGTCCCTTTGTTATTTGGACAACACAGTCTGCTCTGGTATTTAGTTGGAGCACAAAAGAAAGCTGTAGGGTTTTTTTTTTCCCAAAACTTTTTCTTTTCTTGTGAGAATTTTTGAGAGCACAAGTTCAATAGCTAACTGCACTTACGTGTTAAATTTCAATATAAGCAGTCCAAATTAGCAGATTTCCTTGATATAGAAACAAGCACTTTTCTAACGTCTCCATTTTAATACTCCAGCTAACAGAAAAATGATTATAAGAAAATTGTATATATTGTTTAACGGAAATTTCATTCAGATTTATTTGAATATTAAAATGATTAGCCTATTTTTAAGGTTGACATCTGGTCCTGAGAATACCCTCTTCCACTATCTATCTTTGGAAACAATGCATGGAATCTTTATTACTCCAACTCACAAGGAAGTCGCACGGCTCGGGGGCTCCATCCACCCTCAGTTAATTGAGAATTTCCATCGTTGCTGTCTTTCAATTCGTTCAGTTTTTCAGCAGTCCATGATGAAAGAAGTATGTAAGCTTTGTCTTCAGTCTTTCTCTCAACGTTCTCAATTTATTATTTTAATATTGTTTTCATTTCTTTGTTTAGAAAGTTCACTAGCAGGCAATTCATTGGTTGTTTAAAAGCACCTGAGTCTTTTACTGCTATAACAGAGTAAACTGAACATCCAACCACATATGCATGTAACTGTGGTTCAACCTGCCATGCCCTCAGAATAAATACTCCATGTATTCAGTATAGTATTTTTCTGTTTGATTTTAGGGCTCTGTAACTTAGCACGAAGTTCTCACACATTGGGTTGAAGTGTAAGAAGTAGCAAGAGAGGGTTGTTGGATTCTTTTAGTCATATTAATCCTATAAGGAAACTTCAGGCTGTAGGAGAAAGTAAATGGATGCCCTCTCTTTGCACAGAAAATGTTTGATATGAGCAGTGCCAGTGCTCCCCTTGCTGCCCTGATTGTATGTCTTAACGCTGACCTGAAGAGAGCCTCTCTGAAGCTGAGGGAATGTTTGTTCTCTGTGCTACCTGAGGTTGCTTATACATTTGCCTCCCACTGATGTCTCTGATAGCTTTCTCACATTGATATTTATCTGGTTATAACCTGGCTGGTTATGATGATCAATTCTTTTTAATTATGCTGCCAAATAATCTCTTGGATTTTAGATTATGTGGGACAGCACAATAGGTGAGCTTTTTTCTCTTTACAAGAAGTTCAAGCTCTAGCCTTGGGCTTAATCCTGATCTCAGGTGCCAGAGCTTCACTTGAGTATTTGGTATTTAGGAAAGAAGAAAAAAAAAAAAAAGTAGGAGAAAAGAGAATAGATCTGATGTCAGCAACTCTTCTGCCTTGAACTTGATTATAGTTTTCTGTTTATTTCAAATGATCCATCCAAAGTAAATTGTAGTAACAGTGCAAAAATCTAAACAATAGCTATGAGAATCAATATGAGATGCACAGATCAGATGTTTTGTGTTCAGTACCTGTTTTGTTCAGAGTCTGGTTTGTTAATTTTGCAGTTGATTTTTACTGACACAAACGAATTAGGGTAGTATTTCATCCCTGCTAATTTTGTGACCTGCTTAGTTTCTTAGAAAAGGAAATATTATCACAAGAGGAATAGTGTATACCACTTGCATTTTTTTAGATCCTTAAGTGACAGTCCAAGTTAATTAAATGAGGAATATGAAAGAACAGTACAAATTGAATCAATGCAGTTTGCAAGTATCAGTATTTTTTCTGTCTTTCCTTGAAGTTACTGAAGAAGTTATTTCTGGTTAGACTGATGTACCTCAAATCTTTTTCTCTTTTCTTTTCTTTTCTTTTCTTTTCTTTTCTTTTCTTTTCTTTTCTTTTCTTTTCTTTTCTTTTTTCTTTCCTTTTTTTTTTTTTTTTAAGTGTTAGGAAAAACAGCTTAATTTGGTGCATTATGCTGTCAACACCATAAGATGCTAAGGTTAGGCTGAATAAGACATTGGCAGTGGATCTTTAGTTCTGAGCAGTTTGACAGGAGATCTGGAAACGCAAAAGCAAGCAGAGAGAGTACACAAATACTTCTTCTGATCAAACTGCCTTTGGTTAAAGTCGTTAAATAGGCAGCTTGTAGTTCAAACCAAAGATACCCGAATAAACAAACCATTCAGCTATTAAGTGTAGTTCATAAAAAGTGAAGAATGCATGCTTGAAAGTGACACCTTCTGTTTTAGCAACAGCTGTGTCAGCACATGGTTTTCTGGGTTTTTCAGGTGTGTGTCTTTACTGTAAGCAGCAGCTGGGTTCATTGTGCCCTGAAAGTCAGAAATAATTGAACATGTGCTGCAGAACAGTTTCTTTTAGAGGAAAATCTGAGAAACCTATGTAAGCCAGCTTGTTAACTAAAAGTATTTTGACTCTAAAAATCCAGGGTAGTTTTTGTTAGTTGGCTTCAACAGTTAATGCTGTAATTGCTGGGTTGTAGTAGGACACAGTGAAAATGAAAAAGAATGAATAGAACTTCTTTTGAGTTCATAGGGCTTGACAAATAGAAAAAAAAAAAAAGGCAAAAAATGTACTACTGTACTGTTAATTCAAAGGAAGAGATGCAGGCTTTAGCTGTTTTAACATAGTTTGTTGTTCATGAAGCTGCTTTATCTCAGATGTCTTAGTAAAAAGAATGCCGTTTGGCTAGCCCAAAAAATCAAAATAAGGGGAGCACTTCCAAATTGTGTAACAATATTGAAAATCTGTTGATACTGAAGTAACAAAACTGAAGAAAAGAATCACGTAAGCAAAACAGTTATATCTTCTATCCGTCTTCTTGACAGCAACGTCATTCAGCAGCTTTCTAAAGAAAGCATGTTAAAATTACATATACTAATGTTTGCATTAAAAAAAAAATTATACCAACACTTCAACTGTTTTACAGAAAAAGAAGAAAGCAGGCAGGAAAGTCTCAGAATTTAGTAGTACAGATGAAGACTTAGGTCCTGTAAGAGAACATGGAGTTTTGTTTGAATGCTCTCCTGAGAACTGGAATGATCAGAAGAAACCACCACCTACACTGAATTACTGGGTTGTGGGGTAAGTTTAAACACAGACAAATCTATTTCTCTTCAAACCTTCCATTTTGAGTATGCTTCTATCATATTTAAGAATATTTTTTTTTCAATTGGGAAGATCAAATCCACTTACTGGTCTATCTGAGATTTTCTGGGGAGGGAGCATTCTTCCCTGGATTTGCTTTCCAAGTTCTGCTGTCAGCACAAATAACTTATTTACTATGACATCACATAATTTTAATTTAAACTTATTTGCATGACAGAATAGTGTGCTGCCCTAGGTATTAAATATTAAAAATAAGAGCTTTTATTCAAAGTGATCAAGTGCATTTAGAAAATAGTATGCATCATCACTTGACAATACAGAACACTGCAAATAATTTAATTGTTTAAGACCAGGCCAGCAAGCCACATTCTGCAGCCATTACTTCTCACTGACCATATTCTGTGATGTCTAATATTTAATAGCAGTTAGCAGACAGTCGTGTTGGGATTAGTCAGTCAGCAGGATGACCAAGGACAGTCCATTGTTAATATTTACAGAGCTATATGCTATAATACCTCATACAGTTATGCAAAGGTATATTAACAGCTTTTCTATTTTAGTTCTTTCCCTCAAAGAGTCTGTTGGAGTGACACTTAGGAACGTACCTGCCAGGTTGTATTAAGTTTAAAAATGAGTAAATATGTAAATATTGGGGTTTGCTCCCATGTAACCCATTGCAAAAACAAAAGTAACATTAAAATACATAGTAAAAACACGAAAAACTTTTGTAATAGGCTTTAGAAAACTGAAGAGAGAATAACTTACTTTAGGAATCTAACATATGACAACAGTAAAATCATGCAGAAGGGCCACAGAGATTTGCTAGCTGTATTATGCAGCAATTGCAAAAAGCTAACACCTGTGATTTCTTATTTTTGTGGGGTTTTTTGTGTTCTTTTCTTCAGAAGACTCTTCTTGCATCCAAAACCACAGGAGTTTTATGTTTGTTTCCATGACTCAGTTGCGGAAGTTGCTGTTGAGCTGGCCTTCAAGCTGTCCTTCGGTTTAGCTACATAGATGAACTTTCTCAGTATTCAGTCATCCTTGTTCTCAACTCTCAAAGCATTTAAGGGTAGCGAGAAATGAACTCAATTGAGGTGCCTGCTGATGGCATATCTTTGAAATGCTTTTAAAAAGGTAAATCTACCTTGTGATTTGACACAGATGAAACTTCAGAGCTGATTCTAATGACCTAATCAGTTGAATACTTATAAAAAATTTCGGAGCACCAAAGTTTTTGTATTTATCGTCAAATTATTTATCCTAATTGTAACTTCATTATGTGAAAACCTCACATAATTAGTACATTCACTGCTGTTCACTGTCCAGTATTCAATGTAAAATGATACACTGATGTCCTCTTGAATATTTGGCAGTCACTGATAGGGAAAAGTAAGTTTCCCAATTGATGAAAATTTTGTGCCTCTAAGCACATGAAAAATACAGAAATATTTTCAGTAGCATTGTGTTAATCACAACAAAAAGAAACCTTTTAGAAGAATAATGATGTTTAGCTACCCAAAACTGATGGTGTAACATTTTTGCTAGTGCACACTGTTAGACACTTGAGACCTACAGCGTGACTGATGTTTTACCTGATTTCATGACTTTTATCATAAATAATGCTTACATTTGTTAAAAAAAAAAAATAGTTTTGAAGGCACAAAACAGGTGTGCTGAAGGTGATATTTTTGTTTAAGACCAATGCATGGATAGCTACTTTTGTATTATATTCATAATTTCATAATAAAAAATATATATTTTTAAAAGACCAGTACGGTGCTATTCTAATTTCTTTTGAAGTTGCATATTTTCTTTTTGTTCATTTAAACAGTATTTGTTTAGCTAGATCTTCTACAATCTAATGCTGGATACTGAAAAAAAAGTTAGGTTACACCTGTATGAGGCAAAAGAAGGAATGCTTGCAAGATCAGAAGGCTTCTACGGAATTCCGCTTTCCTACTAATTGCTGAAAGGTTTGTGGTAGACAAACTAGCTGCTCTGACTGCATTTGTTTATTTATTCAGATAGTTTTATTGAAGATCTAGTTTAAAATGTTTGATTTTCTTGGGTCCTTTTTTTACCCCATCCAGCACATTTAGATTTGGTCATCTGCATAGTATCCAATCACATACTTTGTCAGTACTGCAATTTTTTTTTTCTTTGCTGCCTCTACTTGCTATCAATAGGATCAAAAGAAAAAATATAGATGTATTTAGGAAATTAAATTCAGTTGTTTAGGTTCTCATGATCAAATCCTTAGCTCGTTTCAACTAGTAAACTGCACTCAGAGTAATTCTAAACTGAGCCTTTAAATACCTTTGACTGCTCACACTGGCTGATTCACAGCTTGGTTTGAATTGTTCAGGAGTTGCTTTCATTTCACGCAGTAGGAATCTTAAGCCTGAAGTTTAAGTATATGATGGAAGGTTTTGTTAATCAGCCCTTTCCGAAATTGATGATTCCTTGATGACAGCATATCAGTTTGAGATGTACAGAGCAGAGTTGCATCAGTAGTGCTTTTATGTTTCCATTCTCCATCTATAAATTATCTGAGAGAATTACATGTTTGAATATGGATAATATATGAACACCTTTAAATCTAAAATAAGTTTGGAATGTTGTGTTTCTTTTTAGATGAGAAAAGGAACACGGGGTGGGGGGGGGAAGCAAACAGTGGACACTGAAAGCTAGGCCTAATTCATTTTTGTTAATTTGTTTTAGATGGTTTTCTTTTTTGTTTTGTTGTTTTGTTTTTTCAGGGCACTTTGCTGCCAGCATAGTGGGCTAATCTCAGTTGACATAGTTGGGTTAAGTCACTGCAGAAAAAACAGTGAATATGTAGTGTGTGTGGAAGTAAGAAGAAGGATTGAAGGGGCTCCTTCAGTAGCAATCAGCTATGAGAGCTGCGCTGAAAGTAATGTCTTCTATTTTATTATGTTGGCCCATGACATCAGAGGTAGATGTTGATGGTACGGCAGTAAAAGTTGAACCTTCCCATCAATGTTCTATTACACCTTGTTGCCATGCAACAGATGGCAGCAGAGGAGCCCTGCCCCTAAGAGTCATTGAGAGCAGAGGAATGGTGTGCCCTGAGGTAACGCGCCCTGCTGCAAGGGACTGGGGAGCAGCTGTTGACCTGGTGGAGCAGTGCCAAGTGCGGTGGTGGATGTGCAGAGCTGGTGGCGTGATGGCTGCCCAACAAACAGGTGAAGCTGCTGCTGCAGGTGTAGGCCTCATCCAAGCAGATCCAGGCAGAGCAGCAGTGCAGGGTTATGGTCAACTGCTTTGTGCACATCCAGACAGAACAAGGTACAGACCCAGCCATTCTGTTTCACCACTGTGCTTAGGAAAACAAACAATTTCAGAAACATTTCTGTAGCCACAGTGATGGCAAGCCAATTGCAGGCTGCTGGCATTCAGAGGAGTGCTGCTAGGTGGGGGGAGGAGGTAGGGAGAAGGTGCACTTCCCTTCATGATTCTTGTTGATGTGAAAAACAAACCTGCAGCCACGAAGTCAGCACGCTTTTATATGATGAAGCAGGAAAATTATGCTTAGCGGTGGTTGTGGGCATTTTCCTTCTGATGTTTCTCAGAAGCAGCAGTTATTCAGTATAACCATGTTGATCTGAATGAAAGCGTACTCAGAAAAGAAAGGAATACCTAGGCTTGATTTTTCTTTGCCCTTAAGATATCTTTGCCTTCACCCACAAGAACACAAGAAGATATTTAAGTGAAGTGCATGGCTGCGCGTTACGAAGTTCAGTCTCACTGCTGCTCAGCACTGCCTACCAGCACGGATGGGAGCCAGGCACGGAGCAGGGGCAATGATGGCAAAAAGCATACGCTTTTCTCATGGTTCACGTAAGATTTCCCTCCTGTGTTAGCTCCTCAGCACCATTCAACTTAGTGCGTTTACATTAGCATCCAGAGGAGTCCTCTTTTTGATCTAGAAAAAGAATATCACCACAAAAGCCCTGCAAAGTTTCTGGTGTGTATGAACCACTTAGTTATTGTTTTAGTATGGAGTCGGAGCACCCTCTATGGAAACTAACCAGTATAGGCAGGCTCCTTCTAGAAAAGGACAGCTTAAAGAGAGTCTGATGTTCTGTGGTTTCTCTTGACAGTTTTTTCTGTATCCAGACTGCAGTTGATGCAGGTATCTCTACTCTTAGAGAGGTATAGAAGTTCATGAAAGTTTATGGAAGTAAGGAAGCTGAAAGTGTTTCCCATCCCTCAGCATTTGCATTGATAGTTTCTTGTACTAACACCGAATGCATACATTTGTTGGTACACATCAGAATAAATCCAGATTTCTAGCACCAAATGCCTGAAAAATGAAAGACCTGAAAAGGAATATTTCTAACCTTTTTTATACCTCATGTAAGTAGAAACAGTAGAAGGAATGCTGTATAAAAAAACTCCGTGTAATACAAACTGTGGATGTTTGTTATGTTAAAGAATCCATTTTCTTTTCAGTAGGATTTTTTCAGTTCTGGCATGTAAGTGTTATACACTGTTTTCCAACAGAGGCTCCAAACTATGCTTTCAAAGACAGGTACAAACAGATTTTTATGTCCAAAGTGGATAAGTGAATAAACTGGTAAATAAATAACCTCTTGGTTCTGCTTCATAAACTCACTAGATCTGGTCTAGAACTGTGCAGGTCCTTCTCTCAGCACGGTTGGTAATTCATAGTAGTGTGTTGACAACATTTTGTAATTAGCATATTTAAAAGTGAGCATGGTTTACTGTATAGCTTATTGTTGAAGGTAATGAAGTCTGACTTTTTCACTTCTGTGATTAATAACTTAGTGAAGTGCATGTAAGTAACTGCTCATAACTGTAGTCAAAAATTTCAAAGTTTTGTTCAGAACACAATGCTTTTGGTGTTAACTGATGGAATTATTAAGATATATATTGAAAATCTTAGATTCAAGTGCCAATGTTTCTGCTCTTTGTTAAAAAATCCCAATTACATTTTAGCAGTTAAGATGGCACTAGCACGGATTCTAATCTCAAAATCTCACAAGTGAAATTAGAGCCGTTTTTATTCTATTGTGTGAAGTTCTTGTGTTGTGTCCCTCAAGCAGAAGTCTGTCTTTATCTTGTTACTTTTCTCTGTGTTATTTGCTTGCTATTGTTACTGTGCAACTGCCTGAAAGAGCTCCTACAAATTAGAATATGCCATACATTATTAGAAGGTGTGCTATTAGTGTAGCTAAGTAATGGCTCTGTAAACTTATTTCTTGCTATACGTAAAGCTGGAAACATTTACGAATAGTTGAAAAATTTTGAGGAGTCTATTTTTGTACAAATGGAACACGAAAAAGAAAGAAACAATAAGCTATGGCTCAAAATGCAAATTATACTTTTGAGCTACGCTGTCTTACCTTGCACATTTGTTCACTTCAAGAGGAAAGTTCCTTAACTTGGATGGATTCTCATTGGGACACAGAGGTCAGCACTCAGGGAATTAATTGCAGGAAATCTTGATCCTGAAATATAAAGTGTTGATAATGGAATTTGAAAAATTACATCAAATGTATTCATATCTGAACAGAAAATAAGTTAATATATTTTTCATGTAGGAATCTGCTTTATTTGTGTTTTTCTTAGGTTATCCATTTCACAATTTCTTTGATTATGTTTTCATAATTTAACCAAAAGTCTGGGTTCTGTGGTTTCTCTTGATGACAGTTTTTTTCTGTGATGCCAGAAAAATCTGCCACGGGCAATGTTTGTGCCATGAGCTTTCCTGGTGTTGCTTCCCAGGAAGAATGTTGTCAGTCCTTAAGTTTGGATCGATCCCCCCGTATTGCATGCAAATTCCTCAGCTGTCCTTTTTCAGTTCCAATTCCTTCATATGTAAAGAGTTTGAAGTTGCTGTTTTCTTTTTCTCATCAGAGTGGAAAAAGTAAAATATGCATGAGATACATAAGTGTTTATAGTTCTTCAAATCTCCTTTCTGCCTTCTAGAAGTATTTCCAGATGGCTTACATGTGTATGTGCTTGTGACTCAAAATTTAGAAACATTCCACAAATAGCATTCAAGATTAATTTCTTCAGAAGGCTATTTAACAAAGTAGCATTATGCATTATTGAAGCTCAGGGACTTGGGATGCTTTCTTACATACTTGATGCAGGATAGGAAATCCAAAGTATGCTGGTGTGCGTGATTTTTGCTTGGCTGGATTATCTTTTGAAAGAGATTACTACAAACTTCAGATTGTAGGGAAGTAAAGTGCAAAGAACTGAACAAAGCAGGCTTTGTCGACTTGCCAGGCACTGTTGGTACTGACAGTAGTACAGGCACAGTTGAGCATCTTCAAATTGCAGCTGTCCCCTCTTTCTTGCTACGTGGACTAGATTAAAAAAAAAAAACCTGAACACTGCCCTTTTTTTTTTATATAGCATTCTCATGTTTTTACATTATTGTGCTACTCAAAGACTTAACATTTTTTTTTAGACTTATTAGAAAGCCGCTGCATGATGGACTATTGATTATTAATCTGAATGTACACGCTGTAAAAACTGTTTCAGTATTACTAAAGGAAAAAAAAAGCTGTGAAGTTTTAATAGCATTGAAACATTTCAGCGCTCCCTTGAGACTAGAGTGACCTCATTTAATTCTTAAGCCTCTATTTGCCCAGTAAAGAAGCACCAGAAGAAGGATCACAGCCTTTCTAAATTTAGCTGTTGGAACCAGCTAACAAGGTATTACATCAGATAAATGTTAGGTAAAGATCTCTCTTTTGCTGTAGGTGAAACAAGAAGAAAATGTTCCTTAGTGTTCTTTACCAAAGAAAAACACTTTGCTAAGCATCTGAGTTTCCTTCTCAGTGTAGTGCAATAGCAATTTCTTCTGATTATTTGGATGCAGAGAAGAGGGAACCCATAAAGGTCCCGTTTACTGCTTTAGGACAACATATCACCAAGATAACACTTAACACTTTCTTTCATGGGGCACTGCCCAATATCCTTCATGGGACAGGAGGAGCCTGAGGGCTAGTTCTTTGTCCTGCAGAGAGGGACTTGAGGATTCTGATGGACGAAAAGCTGGACATGAGCCAACAGTGTGCACTTGCAGCCCAGAGTATACAGACAGAGATACCGACAGTATCCTGGGCTGCATCAAAAGAGAGGTGGCCAGCAGGTAGAGGGAGGTGATTTTATCCCCCTCTACTCTGCCCTTGTGAGGCCCCATCTGGAGTACTGCATCCAGGCTTGGAGCCCCCAGGACAGAAGGGATGCAGAACTGTTGGAGCAGGTCCAGAGGAGAGTCACAAAGATCATGGGAGGGCTGGAGAAAGGTTGAGGAAACTGGGCTTATATAGCTTGGAGAAGGTTCTGGGGAGACCTCATTGTGGCCTTCTGGTACATGAAGGGAGCTTACAAGCAAGAGGGAGACTGAGTTTTTACACACTCTGATAGTGATAGGATAAGGGGAATAGCTTTAAACTAAAAGAGGAGATTTAGGTTAGATGTTAAGCAGAAATTTTTTACTCAGTGTGGCAAGGCACTGGCACAGGTTGCCCAGAGAAGCTGTGACGTATCCTGTTTAACACATATCTTGTTTGTGTGATGTCTGTGATCATTTGCATAGCATGTTTTTAGTTGAAATACTAGACAAGTGATACTCTTAAGTCATTTGGTTGTTTTTATAAACAGGCATGTACCAAGTTAAATACTTCAAGGAATTAAAGAGCGCTGTTTTGATTATCGTTCAAGAAACTAATCCAGGAAAAACTTAACCTTTTGCACAGAATGATGTGTTGCTATCTTAGTGAAACTAGATGTTACACATATTGAATTAAAACCTTCCAAATGTGACAAAAAAAAATGTGGAGACCCAAGCATATAAGGCTTTAAGCAAAACATCATTGGTTCTTTTTCAAGAAAAAATTAAGTAATCCACAATTCTTGTCAGAAGGGAGGATAAATCTTATGGTGTATACAAATCTACCCATCTTCATTTCATGAGGAAACTTCCTGTTATTTCTGAGGTAGTCGTTTTCAATAAGAGAAGAACTGCTGTGGAATACTGCTTACAGACTTTGGATAGCACTGGGAGGCCTATATGTGATCTGTTTCTGAAAAATAAAGGCTAACAGGTTCTTGACATCTCCTTGCAAACTCTTGGGCTCCACACAAAGCCCTCAGGTCCTCCAGCTACTACTACAAATACTTTTTAGCCCCTGCGAATAAGATTTTGTGATGTACAGGCTGAGAACTGGGGTGACAGATATCACCAGCTCCCATGGGACATGACCTGGGGGACAGGATCTGGTCGGTGGACGGAGCAGAACACGGGTGTGACAGGACTCAGGTTTGTGGCTAATCTGATGTGAATGAATTTTGTTCGTACTTGCAGATTGAGCAAGCGGTGTTAACACTAATGCATGCAAGCAAGACTTCTATGAGCAAGTTCAGCTTATCCCATTTGCAATCTCATCTCTGACTCATGCAGTCACACACCTGACAAAGTGAATGTAATTCCTTGTCGCTATCACCAACTCTGCGCTGTGTTCCCTCCTGCAGCACGGTCTGCTGCCGCCAGACGCGCAGCACTGCTGCACGGACAGCTTGCCCCCGCTGCACCGCTAAGCTGCACTGCTCCACAGGAGCATTTGCGCGGGATGGGCTGTGCCTCGGCTTCTCGCAGCGAGCAGTGAGCATGAGCTGGAGCTGCAGGAGCAGCGTGCTGCGGTGCCTCGAGGCACAGGGCTGGTTTTGTCCCCAGCAGGAACTGCGTGGGCTTTGGTCACGGAGACAGAACCGAAGTTCTCGGCAGCGCTGCCGATCCGGTCAGCGCTTCAGCGCTGATGGGCAGCCTGCCCGGTGGAAGGAAAGAGTGCAGTAGTGTCACCTGCTGTGCTAAATCCAGGTGTTCTTTTCAGAGGGGAGCAAATACTTAGGGTGATTTTCCAGCATTGTTTTGTAGGGTTTTGATGTTTATGCCTAAAATGGTACCCATAAAACCAACGTACCCGCAGTGGGGATAAGCAGGCTCCAGGCGCCTTTTTTTCCGAGAAGGCAAAGCCAGCGCCAGCTGCGGGAAGCACGGACGAGTGGCGCTGAGGGAGCAACGGACAGCGCGCGGCCGCTTTAAGGGGGCGGTCCGGGCCCCGCCGCAGTACTGACGCGCGGCGCGGGGCGGCGCTCTGGTGACGCCGCCTTCCCCCGTTTCCAGATCTTTCTGGAATGCGCGGCGCCCGCCGCCTGCTCGGCCCGAGCCCTTCCGGAAAGTGCCGAAGCCGGAGCCGGCGCCCGGCGGACTGCCCGCCGGCCGGCACAGCGCGCCTGCGCAGAGGCGAGCAGGCGCCGGTTGGTGGCTGGTGCTCCGCAGTGGGGGAGAGGCGGCGGCGGCCGGTCCCAGCAGCGCAGCGCGGCGGTCGCAGGCCGGCGGGGAGCGCCCAGCGCAGCCATGTCTGTGGTCGGCATCGACCTCGGCTTCCTGAACTGCTACATCGGCGTGGCGCGGAGCGGCGGCATCGAGACCATCGCCAACGAGTACAGCGACCGCTGCACCCCGTGAGTAGCGCGCTCCCGCGCCGCCCTCCCTCGGGCCGCAGCCGCCGTTCTCCCCGGCCCTGCGCTCCCTGAGGCGGCGGCGGTGCCGGCCGGGCTGTCCCGCGGGGCCTCTCCGCAGCGCGGCCGGCGCCGGTGCTGTGCTGCCCTGCCCTGCCCTGCTCTGCCTGCCCGCCGCGCGCTTCCGGGAGCGGCGCGGTGCCGGCAGGAGGGCTGCGGGGGCTGTGCGAGAGGCGCCGCTCTCCCCGTCTCTCGCCGTGACTTCCCCGTGTCCTTGGAGGACCGCGCCGTGCGGCGCGGCACAGCGGGCACCGCGGACTTCTGTTTTTTCCGTTGCGATGGCTCCGTGCGTGCGTGCGTCCCGCCGCTTCGCTCCGGAGCGGCCGCCGGGTCTCGAACGGCCGCGTGACCGAGACGGGCGGGCGGCGCGGAGCTGCGCGTGCCTCCCCGCGGCCGCAACGTGCTGTGCGCGCCCCGCGCCCTGCGTGTGCGGGCGGCGGAGACGGGGGGATGCGCGGGGATCCCCCGTCGGTTCTGTAGCGCTGAGAGACCGAGAGCCGGCTCTGAAACTTGTGCCGGAAACCCCGCTGCCCGTCCGTCCCCTCGCTCTGCTTGGCGTGCGTTCTGTGCCAGTAGAGCTGGGGTAGGCTTCTGTGTATCGAACACCTCGTTACTAATTTATGAGTCACTGTACTTGCAAGGCTTGTGCGAAGTGGCTGTGAAAGTGAGCTCGGGCACGGCTGGTGCGATAGCACCGAGTGCACGGCTGTGTAGAGGTAGTGGTTACACGCGTCTGGATTTTCTCTCCTTTTCTCTGAATTGTCACATAGATGGGGAGGTACAGTATAGAAAAGAAGTTCCTTTCTAATGCTGTTGTCTAAAAGCAAACTTAATAGTATTAAAATGCTTATATTATGGAAGCTTCTTGAAGTAACTGGGTCTTATTTCAAGCAGGATTTGAGCAGATATAACACTTAAAACCATCCAAACTGCTCTGTATCTCATTGAACAGTGCAGTAACTGAGCGCTTTATCCCTCTGTTCCTGTGGGAGAGCTTACATCACTTAGAGACCTGAAGTTAACCAATAGCTGACATGAATGGGATGTGTCCCAAACACTTGGCACTTAATTCCAGATTTACCAAGCGACAGTGTTTGTTGTGTTGGTGTAACGCACAGTAAAAATACCTGAACCTGTGCTGGACAAGTTAGGACACTCCTGTTCACAGCGTGTCATTAAGCTTCCTAAAGAGAGGGCAGTCCTGGATGTGCTTCATGGGGCTCATTTTGCTCTGTGGACAAGGCTTACGAGCGTGACCATCGCCTGGCTTTGGAGCCCATTCAAGTACCTGTGCAGTGCTGGTGTGGACAATGTGGTGCCAGTCAGAGTCTACTTTGTATCTAGATACAAGCAGTGTATGTTTGTAGAAGATGGTGCATTATCATGCTTTAATGCAGCGCTCATTAAATACTGAATCCTCTGTCCTGATTGTTAAAACATTCTGGTGATCCTTTACATCATACCCATCTCCTATAATTTAAGGTGTAGGATTGTTGGCATTTATAAGATGTGTATCTTTGGGATAAGCACTGCAGAAAGAAAGGTTCTGTTGTGAAGCTATCTATGTCAGGAGATGTAGAATGCTCCTTGTGGCTCCTGACCTTGATGTCTGTTTGGTGTTAACTGAGATCTGGCTTTTTCCAACTGGAGAACTCCAGCAAGTCAGCTGCACACATTTGCAGTGAGCCTTGGCTGCTGAACCCAGGGCAAATGGCTGTGTCTCACCACTGTGGCACTGTGCAGAGAACAAGTTGATTGTTGATAGCTCGTAATCTTTAATAACTATTTTTTTTCAGACCACATGCAATTAGTTTAGTCACAAGCTGTGATTAAAACCATTCTTCACAACATCTTCAAAACAGTGTGGAGAAGATTGCAGTCTCCTGGTGAGGAGAGCTGCTGCTGTTAGAGCAGTCCCTGTCCTGCTCAGATCCTTGCTTCAGAGGAAGCCAGGATGCTTCCTGAAGGGCTGTGTTCAGTGTGGTGGTGTACAGAGTAGAGAAGTTGGTTGATAGTGCTATCCAAGTGTACGCAGTGCCCTCAGTGTGGTGAAGGTGGGGAGGAGGCAGGAAGTAGTCTGCTACACTGACCTTTATGCATTCATTAAACAGTGAAATTTAAACCTTATGGGTCCGCGTTGTGGTTGTTAGTTACTGATGAATGGCCTCAGGCAGATCTGCTCCCAGATGGGAATCAAGTCCTACGTCCAATCTATACAAGCAGAGCTGGTGACTGGGGGTGGGGAAAAAAGCAAGGATCATTGACAGTACTTGAAAATACACTGGGATGATATACTGAGTGCAGAACGTGTTAGAGGAGGACATAATACAGTATGTGTTGTTGGAGAAAGAAAATCTTGTAGCTACTCCAGTTTTACTTAGCTGCTGGTGGAGTTGGCAGGTCTCAGAGTGGAGTTCTGTTGCCTTGTCGTGTATGTTTCTTGCAGGTTTTCTTCCTCTTGACTCTGGAGGGAAGGCTGCTGGGGAGGTAGCCAGGTGGTGTCTGTGCTCCTGGGGTGGCCCTGGCAAACGGGTTGGGAGAGGAACAGAATTGCTCTGCGAGCTGCTGAGGACCTCCCTGACCCATGATGACTGCCAGCAATAGGGCTTCTATAGGGCGTCTGCCTGCAGTTGGCTGTCATTAAGAGTGCTTGTGCGTTGTGGGGTTGGGCTGCTCAGCTACTTCAGGCCTGGGTGTTATTTTTAATTACTGTCTCACAATGATTGTTGGAAATTACTCCTGCATTGTGAATGTGGTACTGTCAGACTCTGGCTTTTTGTTTCAAGATAACTTTCCTGATGAAGTTCAGAGCTTCATTTTTGGTGATCCAGACTACTTTGGTTCCATGCTGTCACCTGGAATTAACTGTTAATTCCTTACCTTTATTGTAGAATCTGTAGAACGCTTCCGCTTTTAAAGAATTTCCTAAATGCCTTGAGAACAATTGTGGTCGCCACAGTTTCTATGCTAATTTGCAGAGAATGAAATAGCCAGAATTCCACAGCAAGTTGTGGTGCTTCATACAGTAATGCTGTCACTACCACAACAATATTCTTCCACTGTAGTTTTGGGGCTTTGTTTTGTTTAGAATAATGTGGATATAGTTTATTACATTTTCTTTTAAAACTCAATTTCTTTTTTTCTTTTTTATTTAGAGCATGTATATCTCTAGGATCCAAGACACGGGCCATTGGGAATGCAGCAAAGAGCCAGGTAAATGGATGGAGGGGGTTAAGAGGCTACAACAGCATATTATTTACCTGACTTGCTTTCTTTTGAGCTGCAGAAAGAGAAGTAGTGAATAAACTTGATATTGCAAAGTAAGTTGTCTGTTATGAGTGTGTATTTTGCAGTGTTATTGCTTCAGTATTCTTTTATTCTAGCATTTTTTTAAATTCTATTACAAACCGTTTTGTCATTAAGAGTAGAGAATGAAAAGAAATGGGACATCTTTCCCAGTAGGATATTTTTTTCCTGGCCATTTGTGACAGGAAGAGTACAGTTCCAAATTATATCTCCGTGTGGGGGATGGGGGGGATTCTGTGCTTACAGTTTTTGAAAAGTTGAAACAGCTGTTCAACAAAAGCTTGATACTGATGCTGGCTAATTTCTCTGCAACTTCACTTGCGGCTTAGGAGAACTAGGAATTGCTTTGGAAGGAAAATAGTTAGAAAACTTAAAATAGCCAGTGTGAATGTAGAAAGCCAAAGCAGAAGAGGTTTTACCCTTTTTCTTTACAGTCAGACATCATTTAGCAAGCTGAAAGGAGGAGGCCTCCTTCCCCATAGTGGAGTGCAGTTAACTGAAAATGGAACAGCAGCTTTGCTGAGCAGTTGTAGAGGTGATGGAGCCCCCTGGTAGTACCGTGAGCATTCAATACATGGCAGATGCTGTGATACCTTTTGTTCCAAGAAACTTTACACTGTTGATCTGAGCTCAGCCCCTGAAGGCATCTTGCTAGTAATGTTTCCAGCTATTCAGCTCGTTATTTAGGGTAGTAAAGTACACTGGCTGATGCTGAAATAGGTTACCTTGGAGTAACTTCTTTTGGTAGCTCAATTAAATATTATATGTGATAGTGTGTGTTTCTGACACAGTCTTAAGATAATCCAGGTGAAACATTCATAAAAGAATAGATGTAGAGAGGGCTTTATCATCTTTGCATATGAAATCTGAATTAGAGCACAGTTTTAAAAGAGAAGGAGTGCAATGTGTACACTTGTTGAAGCTTCATATAAAGTGAATATAGGTAATGGCTTTATTTGTTACTTCAGACTGCTGTTACTTTGATATGTAATCCATCAAATCTTGTACATGATGTCAGAAAGTTCCTTTAGAATAAGAGGTGCAGCAGTTAATGGTTATGAAAGGGGAAAGTAAACTTGGGTTTTATAGTGGAGACCATAGATCTAAAAAGAGTGCTGCTTTCTTCACACACTGTGTTTTCCAGTAAATGTGTGGAGCTTGAAGAAGTGTGTTCAGTATGTGCATTGAGCTCAGCATAACAGGAGTTGTCATCTAAATGGGTTTCTATAGTGTGCATTTAAGAGATAACTGAAAATAGAATATCTTTCACAGATTGTTACAAATGTAAAAAATACATTGCATGGCTTCAAAAAGCTGCATGGAAGGGCATTTGAAGATCCTTACATACAAGCTGAAAGGGCCAAACTTCCTTACGAACTTCAGAAGATGCCGAATGGCTCTGTAGGAGTAAAGGTAAGTTAGAACTTGGTGCGGAGTTATCTCTTGCATTAGAGACCAGCACTTCAAGCCTTTGCCATGTAGTGCATATTATATAATTATGTTTCTTAGTATACATAGTATAAAGAGGTATTGCATTGTCTCCCTTGCAGATGTCCTATAAAACACTACATTTAAAACATTACAGTTACTAACACCAGAAGCATTAAGCTTGGATTTCATTCAACTTGAATAAAACTGTAATAAACCTGCTCTTTTCAGGAGATGAAGAGCACCTTTTTCCCTGCAATAACATTTCCTGAAGTATGGTACTTTCTCTGTCTGAGATTGTTGTGGTTTCTCTTCGTTAGCTTTCTGTAGTCTCATTACTAGTTTATACCCTACCAGGTTTACCTTTGCATAGGTATAATTACAGTGTGTGATTATTTGTGATATCTCATTTGTCTTACGGGTGTGCGGAGACCGAGTTGCCGAAAACCAGGGTAATTCTGTCTCAACATTTAATCTGATCATTTTTAAATTACTTACAAACTAAATAGTTGGAAACAGCTGTTCTTAACATTCAGACTTTTTGGCTTCAGTCTCTGAATGTAGGTCTTAGAGAAGAAATCATTATGTCTGAAAAGGTATTTGATTTTTTTTGTAGGACTTTTTTTTTTTTTTTTAAGTCAAATGTGTTTTTCTGATACTACTTTTTTAGATAGCTTTTCAGGCTTTTTTTTTTTTTTTTAATCTTGTGCGAAGCTCTTTGCATACCTACTTGTCAGGAAAAAATGCTTGTTGCTGCAAAATGCCATCCACTGTTGCTTGGGATGTTGCATGGGATGATTTGTTATAGAATTGCCATTTTGTCTTTCAGGTGAGATACCTGGATGAAGAGAGACTGTTTGCAGTGGAACAAATTACAGGAATGTTACTGGCCAAACTTAAAGAGACTTCAGAAAGTGCTCTGAAGAAACCAGTGGCAGACTGCGTTATTTCAGTAAGTTATCATCCATTTACTGTCATTTTGCTCACAGGTAACTTTATGTAAGTTTGTACCGTTATGCCATAATGTGACAGGGAAGAGATGCAAGTGGTGAGTAGAAATCACATTGACAAAGACTTGGGTCTTTATTACAGATTTTTCCAGTTGATAACACTGTTGTAGTCATACATGAGAGTATGGAAAACTTGTTGAGTGTGCTTTGAGAAAACATACTACGTAGGCTGATTGGGGCTAGTTTGCTGGAATGTAACTTGCTTTCTCTAAATGAGGAGTATTCTAATGTGAAGGCATTTCTTTTCTAGTCCCAAAGAAGTTCTCCAAGTGTATGGTCAATTTTGTTGTTAGGTATTTGAGTGCTGTTTGGTTGTATTGTATTTGAAAGTTGCCTGGAACTTAATGCTCTGAAGATAATGTACTGGGAATTTAAGAAACCTGAATTACCTATGTCTGCTGAAAAGGTCTTGTTTATTTGGCTCATCTGCTTGGTGTCTTTTCTGCTCGGCCGCTCACCTATGGGGGTGAGCAGGGGCAGTAGAACTTAGGCAGGAGGGTTTAGAGGGGATTTGTTCCCAATATAGAAGTCCTAGGTGTCTGCTTTTCACATTGTGGAAAAGTGGTAGCCAACAAAATAGAAAATACAAATATAATTTTGTGTTAAGCTTTGCTGAAGTTGAAGAAATGGTAACTGACTGCAGCCAATTTCATTTAGAAACATTTAGGGCTCTGATTGTGCTTTAGCTATTTTTGGTGGAATTGAAGACTGCAGCTGACTGTAAGCTGGAACTGTCGGTTAGGTGATAAAATGTTACAGCTTGATATAGACCCAGTTGTAGTACAAAATTTAGTTCAGAGGTTCTGAAACTAAAAATACTGTAGTGCTTCAGCAATAACTTCTGGGGCTGTGTATTTATGCACATGATTTACATGAGTAAATCTTTTGACTTTGCTATATAAATGTTTTGAGCTCATAATGATTTTGAGATCAGAGGCTCATCAGAAGAATGAAAACTTCATGGAGGTTTTTTGGTGCTTAAATATACTTGTTTAAAACACAGGTTTGAATTTCACTTGCATATTTTTGTCATGGTTTGAAATTTTAATTAAAATATGCTGTAAAGTGGATTGCTTGGCTGTTCTATTCAGACTGTCTTATTAATCCAAGCTTAGTTTATAACAGTTTCTTGTCGTATTGAAATTTATAGTCTTGTTTGGTGGGTAAATCAGACTTCTTTCATTTAGAAGTCCATATGTTATATCCTATGTAATTATTTTTTGGAAACAGGTACCAAGTTTTTTCACTGATGCGGAGAGAAGGTCCGTAATGGCAGCTGCTCAGATTGCAGGATTAAATTGTCTGAAGCTAATGAATGAAACTACAGCAGGTAAAGTCCTGTGTGCACAGAAATAGAGCAGCACCACATGTAAATGTTTTCTTAACAAACTATTGAATCTGTAAGGGCTGTGACGCACTACTGTTACACAATTAGGAGCTTGGGAAAAAGCTATTGAGGCTTGTATTTCCCAATCTAGCTTGGGAACTGGAAGCACAGTAACTGATGAAGCTTAGGGGCCCTGAGGAGAGTTTGGGTTTGGTAACCACAATACGGTAGCACTTAAATAGCTCCCCTGCTTGTGAAGTGGGTATCTGTGCTTTCCTCTGTACCGTGGAGCTGCAGCAGGTAGGTCAGGAAAGCCTGAGCTAGCTTCAGAATCAATCCAGCAGGGATATGCACCTGACCTAAATCCTCAACTATTATATTAAATAGTACTATCACGTTGTGTTATCAGATGTAACAGCATATTTTCTGTCTGAAAGATTGCGATAAATCTGTTATTTATCTGAGACGTGTTGTGGAGTCTTATTTTAAGAGTGATATTTTTCCATGGGTTTGCTCTACATCCAAATGACCTCATCCATATCTCTTTCTAACTTGTAGTTAGCTGCAAATGAAGTTTTTTCCAATTCTTCATCAAACTGTAACATAACAGATTTTTCTTTCCAGCTTATTGTCTGTGCTGAAATAAAAATAAATTTCACAGAAGTGTGAGGAGGAAGTTGTTTTTTTTTGTCAAAAGCTGTTTTTGTTTCAATTAAAATGTATTTAGGGGAGATCTTGAAAGTGTATGTTAAAAACCCCCTCATGTTTGACTTCTCATGTACGGTTTAAAAAGTTGCCTCTACACAAACTGCATTTTTATGGAGTTTTATCTTAAGGCTCATTTGCTGGTCATATTTAGAAACCTACATTATGGCTTTTCAAAATATTCAAATTGAGTAAAGTCTGTGGGAAAATGACAGTTTAAGCTTGTTGCAAATCTGTCAGTTGTAGCATGAGCATGATTGTTATTCCTATCAAGTAATTTATTTACTGCCCTTAAGTGGTTTTGATGAATTCTATGGCAGAGTATTAAAACATGTCACATGGGAACTAAAGTTGGAGCAGTTTAAACCAGTCATGTAATTTTTATTGATATAAATTCTTCTATGAAATCTCAGCAAGCTTTCTAGGTGAATGCTGGTTTTGAGAACTTAGTTTTTCCTAAACTAGTTTGAAAACTTCTTCTTGAGCATACTTGAGTTGTGCAGAACTGAGCTAAAATAATGGAAGTAATTTCAGAGGAGAGTTACAGGTATGACCTTCTTTGTATATGAATAATAACTGCCAACAAATCCTAAAAATTGTAAGTTAGGGTGGAGCATGTGTTGCTACCGTAGTGCTTTGGAAGTACGCAGCGTACAGTTGCTGTTGGAAGAGGTGATACAGAGTGCTTGAATGGCAATTATGAATTAACATGAGCTAATAGTAAAACTATAAATCAAATGACAACACAGAATTAGGCAACTCATAGAGCCTGAAAGTCTCTATGAATGTGCCCAAATATTCTGTGAGAGCAGAGTGATGGAAGTATTTAGTTTAAGTATAATTAGTGCCTTTCTTTTGGTAGTGCTTCTAATGCATGCTTTCCATTTGTACGCAGCTCTGCCTTGACATTCACATGTTGTTCTTTTGCAGTTGCACTAGCCTATGGGATATACAAGCAAGATCTACCGGCCTTCGAAGAGAAGCCAAGGAATGTGGTCTTTGTAGACATGGGGCATTCTGCGTATCAGGTTTCGATCTGTGCTTTTAACAAGGGAAAACTGAAGGTAATCTGTTAAGTCTTTGTAGTAAAATACCATATTTCCAAAGCATTTAATTACAAATATTGTTTTGTGGAAAGTTTTGTAACTAAAAAAAAAAGTCTATAGCAAATAGTATTGAAATGCAGAATACCAAGATTGCCTGGCCTTTTTGCATTTACAGCAAAGCAATTTTCATTAACAAAATGCAGAAATGAAGTAGCCCAAAGGTGGCTTTGGAAAGTGCTTGACAGGTGTCAGATGTGTGGCTTTTGTGCCTTGTTTTCTCAATGAAATAGTTGTGCATTCCTAGTAATCTCACATAAAGAGTTGTGTTGGAATAACTGACTTACCTATGGGGTATTGTTAAATTGCTTTAAACTGTTTCTTATGGTGATTTTTTTGTCCTACCATGTATAATGATGTAAAATCTAAATTCAATTGAATGTGAAACAGAACAGTATTCACTTTCCTGTTTTGAGATTTTCATCTTTGAGGTTTGGTCTTCTGCTGGCTGAGTGTTTCTGTAAATTGGTCTTTGGTAGTCTTCAGCTGAGGTCATGTGGAAGATGACAGTGGTGTGAGGTTTTTGTTTTTGGAGAGAGGGATAGTGAATGACAGGGCTAGTAATAGCATAAGAAAACAGCTAACTTGCTTTTTCTTTAGTGAGCTACTAAACTGAGTAAAGGCTGCAGCATAGTGGAAAATGACATGATAAATGTGACTTTTATTTTTAAAATAATAATAGTTGCATTTTATTTGAGGAGGGCAGAAAAGAAGTGAGATGAGTCATTTGTCGTGTTTATTTTTTAAGTTGTTGTTCTGTCATGCAACTGACAGTAGCTGGTGAGAAATCCACAAACAGTGTGAACTTCTAAAATATATGAAACCTATCCCTATATCTAAAGAAATGTCATTAGATAACTTGTATTCTGTTTTGTTTGTTTTTTTTTACTTCTATGCAGGTCTTAGCTGCTACCTTTGACCCTTTCTTAGGTGGCAGGAATTTTGATGAGGCTTTGGTAGACTACTTCTCCGAGGAATTTAGGACAAAATACAAACTGAATGTAAAAGAGAATCCCCGAGCGCTGCTCAGATTGTATCAGGAATGTGAAAAACTGAAGAAACTTATGAGTGCAAATGCTTCTGACCTTCCACTGAATATAGAGTGCTTCATGAATGACCTTGATGTCTCCAGTAAGATGAACAGGTACCATACGGTATTTTCACTGAAGTGTGACCAGACGTGGTATCTCAGCTGTTTTGTAATATGAAACATTTTCCCTGTTCCTGGCAGAGCTCAGTTTGAGCAGTTGTGTGCTGCCCTTCTGTCCCGAGTGGAGCCTCCTCTAAGAGCAGCCATGGAACAAGCTAGTAAGTAGGAGTTGGATGCTACCTTTTGTTCTAGAAAGTAATCAGTAATGTGGTTATCCTAGATCTCTTTAATGATTATCTTTTTAATGTATTTTTGTATTCATTAGAATTGCAAAGCTAAGTACTGAAAAGTTAAATGTAAGTTCCATTCATATGCTTGCCATGTATGCATGAATCCCATTCCTGCCTCATTTAGTGCACAAATGCATATGCAACCCTGACTTATTGACCTTCATTCACCCTGTGTAATGGAAAAGGTTGGGCCATGGAAATACATATGTATTTTTTTAAGGGAAAAAAAAAAAAAGGAGGGGAACGATGGGGATGGGGGAAACCAGCGTTCTGTACTTTGAACACTTAGCAACTGTCTGGCCAGCCTGTTCCATATGTGATACATAAGTCTTCACTGACCTGAGAACTTGGCAGTCTATTTTCAAAATATTTGGAGCATGTGCAAATAACAGTTTATTTTTGTTTGTTTAGTGAGGAATAGACTTTCCTAGAAAAAGGTTTTACCCTATTTTTAGCATCTTCAACAAAAAAGGAAATATTCTGCTTATTTTTTGAGTTGGCTCAATAACTAATGCCGGAAGTAAGAACTTGAATAACTGCTGAGCAAAAACGTACAAGACTGACAGCTGTTTGAGATTCTGAGATCACTTTGTGCTCGTATCTTGAATCCAGAATTAAAGTTAACCTGCAAGCACGGTTGAATATTTATTTTATGTTTTCAGTCAAGGGTTTTGCATTTCTCATTGGCAACTAAAATTAATCCAAACATACGATGAGGTATGTTTGGGCCTTCTTATTCTTGTTTGGGAGAAATGAGAGGTGTTGTGCAATAGTACAGGGCTGCCAAGGGAAATGATTGCACATTTGGGTTTATGTCCACCAGAAAGGAGAGGGTGCACATATACAAGTTTCTTCTGAAGAACAGCTGTCACCACATGAGCTGTATTTGATGCTTTGCTTCTGCATTTTCCAGAATTGTGCAACCAGAAAAGTTTTTAGCCTGCAGGAGGGATAAGGATTTTAAGGTGCTTCACTGCAAATCTGATTTTAAAGATTTTGTTGGCAGTTTAATCAGTGCTTGTTATTAATGTGTAGTTAATAAGAGATCTCTGTCTAATTTCTGTTGTAAAGACAGCTTTTTGGTATCTTGATGACAAGTAAAGGCAATGTCTGCTCTTTCTTCTAGGACTTCAGCGTGAAGATATCTACAGTATAGAAATAGTTGGTGGGGCTACTAGAATTCCAGCAGTGAAGGAACAGATCTCTAACTTTTTCTGTAAAGAAATAAGCACCACACTAAATGCTGATGAAGCTGTTGCAAGAGGCTGTGCCTTGCAGGTATGGATATTAAAATTCAGTATTGCTAGCTTAATGTGACGTACTACTGCAGTGTAACTAAGGAAAACCAAATATCGCTATGGGTGGAAGGAGATCAGCTCTTACTTGCTTATTTGAACAGCTGGTAACAGATCACATCAGAAAAGATTGTATTATCTTTGGTAACTTGTCACTGTCACATTAAAGGGAATGACCTTGTTAGGGACCTGTTGAATTTGATTGTCTGAATTTATTGGTCCACTTCTGCGTAAGCCATTTGTAAGATTTGATTGTGTCTTTACTGACGATGACCAGGGAAATGGTGTTCATTTAATTAATTAAAATCAGCCAGTTCAATTATCTACCAAGTCAGTTCAATTAATTATCTGCCAAGAGTAAGAAGATTCTGTGTAAAAAATGCTGTGGTAAGCTGGAACCTCCATGTGACCTTATGCACTTAGATGTTAATTGCTGTATTGTTATTTATTTTACTGCATGGATATAATAAAATTCTGATCTTTGTTTTCTAGTGTGCAATTCTTTCCCCAGCTTTTAAAGTGCGGGAATTTTCCATCACTGATGTTGTTCCATATTCCATAACATTGAGATGGAAATCGTCTTACGAAGAAGGAACTGGGTACGTTGTACGATGTGTGCTCTGAAGTATGGTGGTGTGTTTGTTTAAGGAAAAATGTTGAGTTGTGGAGAAGGCCTTTCAGACTTGGAAGTTGTCATCTAATAAACAGTTTTTTTTCCTCGTTTTTTTTTCTTGACTTCCAATTACTGCTTAATTGAAAAGATTTAAGAAACATTTGCATGAACTTGCTTAATTTTAATGACATAAAATGCTCAAGTCCATCTTGAGACCCACTGGCCTTTAATGTGCAGCTCTTGTCAGAAACTTTCAAGTAAATAGGTTATTTGGTGGCTTACTTAGCATGGCTGCTGATCCGTAACATAACCTGATAATCTGTCCTATTATGCTCAATCGTTTAAATTTTACATAATATTTTACTGCTGTAGGGAATGTGAAGTCTTCTGTAAGAACCATTCTGCTCCATTCTCAAAAGTAATTACTTTCCACAAGAAAGAGCCTTTTGACCTGGAAGCTTTCTACACCCATCCGCATGAAGTGCCTTATCCTGACTCCAGAATAGGTAAGGACATGTAAATAAGAAAAGCAACTTTTGTTGACAAGAAGTTTTCCCTAATGATCTTTACTTCCATGTTTCCTAAGTTACAGAAAAGCCTCAGTTCTGTAGAACAGCTGAGAACAGTCTACTTGCCTTCAATGCAGTGCTCAAACTGTTATCAACATCAGATGATGGCAGTAGATGATGGCAGTTACTAGAAAATTAATTTTCTTTGTTCTTCACTGTTTCTGAATGCTTCAGAAATGTCACTACAGAGAGTTTAGTGCTGTGTTGTCCGGTTCTTGCAACTTCTGTAAAATGAAGCAAGACCCATTAGCATAGATTTTTTGAAGGTCCAGGTATGTATTTATGTCACTTTCTGCTCATCTGTGAACTTACAATGCAGATGTTTCCTGAATGAGTCCAAAGAATTAGAGGGTATGAATTAGTTTCCTGGTAGCTAATACTGCTTTACTCATAATTAGTAATTGACTCCTCAGCATCTTTAAAACTGATTCGTGATTTTGTTTGCTGACTGGCGAGTCAGATATAAACTTGGTACTACTTTTTTGGGTGTCTGCAAGATACCCATCTTTAGGAAAGAGCATTCTCATCTGTATGTGAACAGTCTGCATCACTTTCGCTCAACTTGCAACAATTTTCAAAATACAAACCTGTTTCCAGAAGCCTCAATAAATGGGCTGCTCAGTCTCCAAATGTCCAGTGTATCAGTAAATAACTATAACTAAATCCAGAATCTTTCTCTGTTAACTTCTTTCAATGCTAAGTTTCAGTTAAGTGGGTGAAATAAACTGTTTGAGGTGGGTCGCAGAGTAGTTTCTCTACTGTGATGGTTAGATAAGGCAGCAGAGAGATTTAACACTTAATATAGGTTTATCTTGACTCTTCTGTGAATAGAAAGTGAAATTGTCTTGTGGCTGTACAACATAACTGTAAGTGACAGACTGGTTTTTAATTTGTCTAGCTTCAGTTTTTGTCATAGAACTGAAAACTAAGTAGGAAGTTCTAAAATAAATTTTATTTAGATCAAATGGTGATTTAAATTAGCCTTCAAGTTTGTGGTTTTGGTGGTTTTGCATTGCTTTTGTTTTTATTTTTAATTTTCTGATCTTTTTTCTTAAGGGCGTTTCACTATTCAGAATGTTGGTCCCCAGCACGATGGCGACAACTCCAAAGTGAAAGTTAAAGTGCGTGTCAATATTCATGGCCTTTTCAGTGTGGCCAATGCTTCTATAATAGAAAGGCAGAACATTGATGGAGATAACAATGACGCACCAATGGATACTGAGTCATCAAGTAAGAACCAAGGCAGAGAAGACGAGCTGGTACGTAAACTTGTAAATATCTACAGTCCTTGTAATTCTGACAAGAGAGATGATAATTGGAAATTGCTGTGATTTCACCTCCAAAAGCTATATGCTCTTTTTCACCCTTACATGATTTCTTCAGTTACACAGCACGTTTGTTTGTGTATTATTAAAGTATTGGTGACCTGGCACTATGAGTACAGGACTATGAAAACAAATAGATTCCAAGGGGAAATTTTCTTCCATTGTTTTTTTTTTTTTAGCGTCTCTACACTAGTCCTAGTATTACTGTGTTGCTCTCAAATCACAACACAATTAATGTGTTCTGACAGATAAATTCTAAAGGTGTGGCTTTTTCTTCCAAATACTACATCTTTGTTGATTAAAGAACAGATGGTATTTTTTTATAAGCCTTCTTTTGCTTAGGGCACTGTATGTACTTCTTTGTAGGTGGTTCTTATGAACTGGTTTAAAAGCCTTGAGGGGAAGTTAATGGAAATACATGTGTGATTGTGTTGCCGTCAATACCGGAGAAATTATTGTTTTAGACATCATTATATCACTGCTGATCAATGCTGCACTGCTGTAGAAGTGCCTGCTCACAGCATTCTGCCTGTCAGTTCTCCCATCCACCTTGTTGGTGTCTTGCAAACTAGGGGTAGATGAGAGTTGCAAGGTACAGCTTTTACACTGACACGGTAGGTCCTAGGACTGGGTGGCAGAGAAAGCTTTTGTGGCTGGGAATGGTACACCAACAGTAGTCTCTGGCAGTTCCTGGTGGATAAGTGCTTTGCATCTGACATTTGCTTGGAAGTGAAATGCCTGGAAGTGACATAGCTGGCATTTTATGTTGTCAGCATGCTGCATGTCGAGGTTATTAATCTTACTAAGTACACTGTGTTCAGTACAAGCATAACTACTTCCATCCTCAGGCTTTGTCGGTTTGTATTACTTCCGTTTATCCTAATACATCTTCTGTTTTACAATGGTGCTTGTCAGCAATTACCTTTCATTATTGAGGATGATACCCTCGACTCTGAGGCTGAGGTTTGTAGTGTATATGTGTATTTCCCATACCCCTTCACCCCAGCTGTTTGTAGGCGAGGTAGTTCCTTCTGGTTATTGCCTTTCCTGTGCGAACAGTAAGAACAATAAATAAGGATGTTGTTCTGTTCTGACATGAGAATGCTTAACTTTGGTAAAAATAGCCTATTTGCTTCCTACTTTCATCACTAAAACTTGGCCAAATTAACTAACACAACAAACCTGCAACATGTGCACCTGTGCTAGAGTTTCAAACCTTTCAAATGTTTCTAGTATTTCACCAAACTAACAATGGTGTTTTATATGCACATGTGGTTTATAAATCCCTGAGTTTAATTCTTTGTGAGAAGTCAAAGAGTACTTTGGTTACATCTTTACTACTCCTCACAGTCTCCTCACTATTTATTGATGCCTTGGATTTCCAAATATTTCCAATTCTGAAAATTTGAAACTTTGAAACTTTCATTTATTAGGATGTTATTAACAGTTTTTGCAGTGATAACAGGGAATCGGATAACTTGAACTAAATCAAGTGATCAGCTCTTCTAATTACAGTGATATTTTTTAAGACTCTCAAATCTAGAATAAGGCATAGTGAACTACTTTCTGATAAATTCAAGTGAAACGTGGAGTGACCAATAAATACAACTGGTCTCGTGCTGTAAAAGGCTGTTACAGAAATGAATTTCCATGGTCATGTGAGACAGGTGCAGGCAACAATTAGAATGATTAAATTACTTCTGCTTTAGATTATAAAGTTTAAGGGTTGGGGGAAATGTTATGTGTTCAACGTTCTGGCTGTTCCATACAGGATCTGTAGTTACTGCCTGTGTTGTTGTTGTGCTTCTAGAATTTTATTTGCATATATTTCATATATATTTATTTTGAAATTAAAATGGAGTATTCCCTGGGCTTAGTATAATTCTGTGATAGCAACATCATAATTATTTAAAGAGGGACAGGCCAAATAGAATCTCAATTTAATTTGAGATAGATACAGATAGAAGCAGTGTTATCAAAACGCCCGTTTAAGTAATGCCTGATTAACTAAGTCAAAAACTTGTTGAGACTGAATTGAGCACATAAGGACTGTGATGTATTTTGATAGACATCAGTCTTAAATCATACCACAAACCTGTGCATTCTGTTATTGCAACTCTTTGTCTAGGATAAAATGCAAGTTGATCAAGATGAAGTTGCTCAGAAAAGTCAGGCTGAACAGCAGAGCCAAGCAGATGAGGAAACCGAAAATGCAGGAATTGAAACAAAGGTATGTATTCAGCACTGATAAGAAAATGCAGTATTGCTTCCCTTAGAGTTTTTTTTTCTGCCTAGTATTCTCAGATTTATTCCGTTAATCTCCTTAGTTGTGATTCGTAGGGACTGTATTTGGAAGAGCAAAGAAATTTTACCTTAGCACTTCCCTTTTCAACATACTAAACTAAGACTTTTGAAGTAAGTTTCCTTGATTTAATATAGGTTTAAAGTGAAAATGAAAATTAGGGAAGCTTGAGAATCTGGGAGAAGAATATGTAGTGTGTTTAGGTTTTTCGAACAGGTCTTCACATTGTTTGAAGAAATTAAATTGCACCAGTTTGGTTCAAAAGTAAAGTAACGGTGATTCTGAATAGCAGATGTATAGCTGATGCTTCATTTCCATACAGTTAATTTGTACTCTTACTAATTTTTGTCTTTTTTGTGCGTAACTGCAGCAATGTTGTAATTCTTTGAAGTTCCTTACAACTGCAAATCTTACAGGCTTCTTCTGGAGACAAGCAAGATCATCCAACCCTGCCAAGGGCTAAAACAAAAGTCAAGAGTATTGACCTACCTATCCAGGCAAGCCTCTATAGGCAACTGGGACAAGATCTTATTAATTGTTATATAGAAAATGAGGTAAGAAGCATGAACAGGTGATTACTCACATTAACATCAATAATTGCTTTGTGTGCACAGCCTTAGAATTTCTTGAGGTTTTCCCTTCAGTAAGGACTTTGATTTTGCCTACTTTTAGTTGGTGTCTTTTTCTTTGTATAATAAATGAATTTACTAGTAGTGCTTAATTACCCAGATCTGAATGTAATCTATTAGACTGTCCTTACCTTGAACAATCAATGCCTTTCTTATGCAAGAAATTCCTAGGATTTCCAGTAAGGGCTGCACAGTCTGTTATAGGAATGCTAATTGTTACTGACTAACCTGAATGGGTCAGGATTAGCATTTGCAGACTGTTTTTTGTGCTCTACCAAAGCTGTGTGCCTGGCTAGATTGGGTTTTTGCCCTTAATGTGCTTTATCAGCAGGAAAGGTTTTGGAAAGCATTGCTTCTAGAACACTTGCTTTCCATAGAATCCTGTCTTTGAAGCATATTTACAGGTGTTATCTGCCATTGCAAAGATCACACCAATTTAAAGTCTTCTCTGAAAGATGGTCAGTGCAAAGACTAAAATGGGAAATAAGTTTTGTAGAGCAAAATGACAGCTTCTGAACGTGAACAGTTCTCACCCCCATCCCCTCCCCATTTCAGTTCTTCCTGAGGTGAGGGTAAGTTATACAGAGGCAAAAATTAAATAAGTAGTGGTCCTTTTTGTGGTACAGTTTGGGAAGAGTAATGCTCAAGCTCAAATGCTCATTTTGATACTTGAAATCCTTAGTTTTAACTAAGCTTTCATCCACCCTAGGGGAAAATGATGATGCAAGACAAGCTTGAGAAAGAAAGGAATGATGCTAAGAATGCTGTTGAAGAATATGTGTATGACTTCAGAGACAAACTGTGTGGAGTCTTTGAGAAATTCATCACTGAAGAAGTAAGATTTGCCTGTGTGTTTCAGTTGCTGGAAAATGATTTTTCTATCAAAAGCTTTGAGTGATATCTGTGGAGGCTGCAGGAGTCCATGGAACTTGTCTCAGAATGTGAAATGGATTAACTTCAGAAATGAAGTTAACTATGCATCAGCCTGGCATTTGAATTGCAAATACGAAAATGAGCAGAAAAATTAGTGCTTATAGCTGTTTCATTATCTGCATTTTATTTATTGAAATATATGGTTAATTCCCCACTTAAAAGTGTGGTGAACCTGGTGTGTTGCTGAAGCCCAAGTAAAAGAAAGTGGCACACTTGGCTTTTGCAAAATTGAAAAAATATTCTGTAATAGTTTCTAACGGCTGTCTGTGGAAGTGTCTGGTACACAGGCAACAACTTCGTGAAACAGCCATTCAGTAGCAGCAGTTTTAAAGTCTACTCCACAAATTACCTGGTTACCCAGCAACACATTTTGTTCTTTGCTAGTTGACAGTGTCTCTGACTTGCTTCATAGGATACAAACAAGCTGACCTTGATGTTGGAAGACACAGAAAACTGGCTTTATGAAGATGGAGAGGACCAGCCAAAGCAAGTGTACATGGATAAGCTTCAGGAACTAAGAGTAAGGCTTCAAGCTCTTCTTTAGAACGAGGGGAAGGGGAGTAGTGTATATGCATGTTATGTGGCTAGTGTAAGTACACATCTTCTAATGAGGGATATGTATGTGCCTGCCTACATATGAACTTGATAAATCCAGTAATTTAAAAGTATGGACATGCAGGTTGTACCTGGATGGTATTTAGTTTCGTGATTGAATGTAGTATGTAGAACTAAGAATACATAGAACTAGGAATACTGTTACTGTCAGTTGTCCTTCTAATATCAAAATGGTCAGTTGAAATGAACAGAGTCTAGTGATGAATAGTAAAATTAATGACTGTCAGAATTTCTTGTAGCTCTTGCTACACACTGGAAGAGGCTTTTAAGTATTTGACTGTTCTCCAAGTATTCAAAACTACACTTGAAAACAGATGGCTCTGGTTTCCCTGTTTACAATGGTCTTCAATAGCTATATAATAAAACAGAAGTTTTGGTCTAATAACAAATGATAAAGGTTAATGAATGCTTTAACTTTAGCTTCCACTGTATTGTTTGATTGGTAATGACCAAAAAAACTCACCTTAAGTACTTGTAAATTTTAATAATTTTGTGGGCTAGTGTAAATTGTGATGAATGGCTCTTTGGTATTCAAGGCTATGTCTGTAGCTTTAGTTCTAACTGTTCCCTCTCAAGTGATGTTTCCCATTGTGGGAGGGGTAAATGATGGAAACATTAATAAGGGCAACTGCCTTCATGCCTGGATACCCAGCATTCAAGAGAAGGGGAAAAACAGACAATGGATAGAACTATAACTTTTCTGACTGTTCTAAAATTCAAACCATCCCTGCAAATTTGTCTGGAAATTTCTCTTCCAAGTGCATTGTAACAAATGCTCTTTTTGCTGAGAAAATTCTGAAATGGTAAGCCAAGAAAAAGCAGAGCACTTACTTGTTTATTTGGACTTGTGATTTTTTTGTGGTGGTGGTGGTGGTGGTGGTACTGCACTACAGCAAAGTGCAAAGATTAAGCTCTAGAACAGCTTTTCCCTCCTTCTCATAGCCATGCTACTTATGATTCAGTTTTTATTCCTTGACCATAGTGAAAGAAGCTTGTATTGTGTCAAGATCTTTATTTCTGGGAAAATGAATTAGTTGCAGTGTCTCACTTGGCTTATGTTTCCAGAAATTTGGACAGCCTATTCAAGAAAGATACATGGAACATGAGGAGAGACCAAAAGTTTTAAATGAACTGGGGAAGAAGATTCAGCTCCTTATGAAAGCAGTAGAAGCATACAAAAATAAGGTAGAAGCGTGGAATGATCTATGGGTGTTTGAATTTGACTACAGGATTTTTTTTGTGTGTGTATGTTCTAAAAGAAAAAAATCCTCTAGGATTTAACTTTTAAGCTGCTTTAAAATGGCTTGTGCTTACAATCCTGAGAACTTCTAAAACTTTTCTTGAAGTTTCTTTGTGAATGTGAATTAAACAGTAGTGTTCTTTATGGTGACTTGTACCACTTGAAATGCCTACCACAGTGTTATCCTTGTTTCTGTAACCCAATAAATTATATGTTGGGGTTGGTTATTCAGGTGACTCTGTGTTCTCTTGCAACTTCATTACTCATCTGTGCTTAAGCAGTGTGCATTTCAAAATTTCACATATCTTACGATTTCCTTTGTTTTGTTCTACAGCTATTCTTCATACCAAACACTTGTTTAAAAACATTGATTTCTAGTGGGTTGTAGTAATGTTACTCAGTTGTGTCCCTTAAACTCTTAATTGATTCAGAAGTGTGTAGTAATCAATTAAAGACATCTTTTCTCCTAGGATGAAAAATATGATCACCTAGATCCTGCTGAGATGGAAAAAGTTGAAAAATACATTAGTGAGGCTATGAACTGGTTGAACACCAAAATGAATGCACAAAACAAACTAAGCCTGACTCAAGATCCCGTTGTCAAAGTGGCAGAAATAATATCAAAATCAAAGGTAAAAAAATAAAAATTGTCAAATGTGTTGCAGTCTAGTAAGTTTTTCTTGAATAAGATTTTGGCCTTTGTATTAAGCTAGAATACCATGCCTGCAGAGATGATAAAGCTCTAAGGTACAGGGGTGGTGGCAGCAGCAGTTTTATTAGCATTAAGTCCTAGCTCTTCACTTTACAGCAGTACCATTGAATAGCTAAAAACATCTGAAGCATGGTGCTGGTTTTGCTAAAAAACTGATTACTACAGGATTTTAAAAAATCAGAAACTTCTTTCTTTTAAGCTTCTAGATTTGATAGAAGTCTAGTCCTTGAAAATGTAGTGTTGGTCATTAGAAATCTGAAAGACATTTTAGACGTTATAGTTTAATGCAGTTACTGTGTCACCAAATAACTTGTTCTCTCACTTTCATTACAACTAGGAGTTGGATAGCTTCTGTAATCCCATTATATACAAGCCCAAACCGAAGATAGAACCTCCCAATGATGGGCAGTCAAAAGCTAACGGTGAACATAATGGACCAGTGAATGGACAGAGCAGTACTGAAACAGGACCTGATCCAGCGAAGGACAATTCTCAGCAGACCAAACCATCTGGAGAAATGGAAGTGGACTAAATCTTGCATTTCTGTTACTTAAAATAGTGCACAGGGTCCATTCTTTTGGTACACACCTCAGATGTTCAGTTATTCTTAGCCAACCTTCTCTCATTTGTTGCTGAGTAGTTTTGGAAGTGTTTCATATTAAGTACACCTCTGATGTTCATTTCCACTGATGCTGCTTATGTGGAGCTTTAGCCAAATGTAGATTGTATAAGTCAGTTTAAGCTTTCCCAATATATTTTATATCAAAACATACAGAATTGATATATAAATGGCAACAATCTACCTTATTTAAAGCTTTTATTGTGGATAAACCTCAGCTCCTTTATTCAGGAAAGGATACTGTATTGCACTACTGATGCTCAAGTGTAGATCTAATTGCATCTTTATTTTGGAAAAATATTGGAATTGAAGTGGCAACACTTGTCACTTGAAGCACTGACCTTTTCTAGTTATTGTATTGTTATAATTTAAATATTAAAATAGAGGTTAGTTGGCATACTAGTCCATCTTGTTGATGTACCATGAAAATTGTATGGTCTCTTTCATATATATAAACTAATACAAGCATAAACATTTTTTCAGATTCCCATACCACTAACAATCTTAGTTAGAAAATACCAGCGTGATGGCTCTGCCATTTGCTGAAATTAAGTGAATGGTCTCATTGCACATTGCTGTACATAATGGACTGTGCTAATAGGATGATGCTAATGATAATAGTATCAAGTGGTAGAATATACAAGGTCTTACATAGCTTTCCCTTGAAAACGTCTTGCTGCACATGTTACCATTTCCACTTGGTTTGTTTTGAATGAAATCTACATCTTGATTGCATATCACGCTGGGGATGAGAAACAGCAGAAATTGTGCTGTGCGAGCTGGATATTGGCCTAACATTGAGGTTGCTTAAATGCTGTCTGTTGCAAACTTGAAACAAATACTAAGCGCTTATTTAAGCTATGGTACTTGGCATATAATCCTTTTGATCAAGGATCTAAACAAAAGAGTATGCAAACTGGATATTACTACTCTAAAGATAAAAATCTACTTGATGAATTTGCATAGCTTATCAGTTATCCTTGCTCATTTACTTGATCTAATGGAAGTGTCTATGATGTATTATACAGCTGAGTCACTAGTTTCTTTGATCTATCTCGGACATCATCAAGATCCAGTGTACATTCATATATACTGAATGCTTCAAGCCAGTCATAGTGGTACTGTAGCACTTGTTTAAAGCAAAAGAGTGGCTTGTTTTAACAGCTCTATTACCAGGATAGAAATGGACTACTTTATGGAAGATGGTTTATTACCCAAGTTAGCACAACTGACTGAGATGAGTTGCAGTGTAACACGTCAGTGACTTGCTTGAACTCTATTGCAGAAATGGATGTAGCTGTTAAGGCATCCCATATAAGCTTGCTGCTACTGTAAACAAGCAAAGGTCATGCTCTTGCTTGCAGTTCTGGCAGCCGTGCCCTGATATTTCATCACTGTTCCTGTTCTCTGGTCTCTAACTCAGTCTGCAGCTGATAAGGTGAACTGTATTGGGCAACATCTTCACAGAGAAAGGAAGCACCACATGCAGCTACTAAACTAACTCAGGGGCTAGAGTCGTACCTTCATGAGTGATACAAGTGAGCAACCCATAAACAGCTCCCCTAACAGCTGTGTGTGGGCTGGCACCTTTTGTTTACATATTTGAAGCCTCTGAACAAAATTTGAGTGGTGTTGAACTGTAGCTGTTCTGCAATCTCAGTCTTGATTTCCTCTGCTATAATTCACACATCTTTGTCATCAGAGTGACTGTACTTCAGTGTCAGCTGTCCCTAGTGTAAGCCAGTACTTAATTGGGCAAGCTTTGGTCCTGTAGGCTTTATAGTTATGAATATCTTAATGGCTTTAACACAGTAATGACTGGTGTTCCTAAGTACTGGCTTCCTGAAACCCATCTAAACATTATTTTGTCAAGTAGACTTGCTGATACCTGGCAGGTGAAGAGCTTAGACAGTGGGAATCTCCAGTGTAGGCTCTCCAGTAATTGCAGATGGAAACATCACATATAAGAAAAAAATCTTTATTATGCTCTTAATGGTTAAATGTTCAATATGCTATTACAGGTGGTAGAAGCCTTCTTTAAGCTGAAGGACAGAGCAATTTTATAGCTGGTTAGTGTCTCAAGCTTAAAAGCAGGCACAGTAAAGAGAGTGACAGTAAGGTTTTCATACAAAAATAGTGGCATTTTTTGCTGTGCATCTGCTCTGTCTCTAGATCCTTGTGGACCACTGCCTGCGCTCAGCAGGTAGCAACTGGTTGATGGTCACAAAGTACATGTTACAAATCCCATTTGTAAGGCAAACTTGTTCTTACTACAATGAAGGTAAAATTAGCACATTAACATATAACTTGTTAATGAGTAATCTGTTTTCTGTTACAAAGAGAAAAGCTTTACCAGAACACAAACATAGGGTTTTCAACTACTTGAACCATCCACAACTTGAACAAGAGGTTTTGCACACTGGACTCTAGTGAGTTACCTTGTGGCCACCCTGGTGGATGGCTCCAGAATGAGTATCTTCCAGTCCAGAATGAATATCTTACAGTATAACACAAATAACTGTGGTGACTGACAGTAGCATGCTACCTTGCATCTTATAACAGCTATTCATTGCTCGCATCTTTTTTCACACTTATTAATCTTTTAAGGGGAAAACATATACTTAATGTTTGAAGAGATTCCTTCCATCTCATTAAAAAAAAAAAACACAGGAAGCAACACTGTAATGCTGGCAGACTTTTGTTTGAGTGGAAAAAAAATGAGTCTACGACTTTACATAAAAATCCAGTTACAAAAGAGCAGAACAATTTCCTTGTATTTTACTTTCCTCTTTTCTTTAACAAGCACCAGTTCTATTCCTCCTTGAGCATTAATGTCCTTGCTTAACAAATGGCTTTAGCAGTGCTTTAACAAGCAGACTTGCTACTAGCTATTTTAAAACTGCTTCATGGCTTCATTCTCACACCTTTTATCAACATTTTTTACTTTGGGCTTTTACTGGCAATTCACTTACATGCGTAACACAGTTTTTTAACCGTCACTTAAGTTTTTATATGGTTTTTTTTTAATCTGACAAAGGAGTTTTAATGTAGTACACCTGTCTTGCTTGTTTAGTTACTGATTTGGCTATGGATGTCTGACCTTGAATGAAGAATCCTCTCCTTTCTTTGCATTTGGTAGTGCCCTCCTCCTACTGTTAAAAAGCTGCCTTTGGAATACGCTTGTAAAACATCAGTAGGCAATTGGATTTAAAATCCTGCAAGCCCTTTGGGTGAAACACATAATGCATGTTAGAGCTAGGACTTCACAGGCTGGCAGGAGGCATGCTCACACCCTGTCTGGAGGGGCAGCACTGGGGGCAGCTGCTGTTGCTGATCTGTTCCTTCTGAGGTGAAGAGGTCTACACTGACACCATACAGTGTGCCTGGTGGCCTTCAGAGGGTACCTTTATGATCTTGCTTTAAGGGCATAGTATGAAGGTTTCATTTGTTCTACTTAAAAATGAAAGCTGTTAATCTAAGCATCCAAACTGTCAGTTGCCTTTATATCTGCAGTTTTTGAAATTATTTCATTTTTTAAAACATCTCAATATGTTGAACTCCCATTTCTGCTATAGCTTTTTCCTGTTAATAAGTCTTCTCAAATATTCCATGGTTGTTTCTTTTTTTTTTTTTTTCCTGTGAGGATTAAATTTAAGCATAATATTATGGTACAGGCTAAGAAATAGAGACATTTTTCCTAGGTCTTTCTTGACATGGGTATTGCAAAGTAGTTAACAGCTTAAAAAAAAAAGTAGTCTTCATTCTTCTTAGTACTCTGGTTATCCGTTCATTGTGATTACCTGACACCAGTTCTCAAAAACACAAAGCCATGTTACAGGTACACTGCATTTGCTGGTTTGGAGTACTTTCCGTGTTACAGGAAGAGAAGCTCACTGCAGTTCCTGTAGAGAAGTTTCAGCATGACCCTCAGCCTCCAAAGTTAGGGCTTTGATTGTTGCGTTACTACACAGTAATACTTCCATGGGCTGATACAAAAGCCCCCATGAACTAAACTCTAGATGACCAAACTTGAGGTCTGAATCAATACAGTATCTAGAAATGCTAAGCACACTTACATTACCTGCTGTTGTCTACAAGTTTTCTTGAAACTGGGTGAAAGAGTATTATTTCACTACTTTTCTCATTATTCTGTATTTTCTAGCCTTTGAAGCACCAGAAAACAGAGGTAGGAAAAACTGCATTGCTTTATAAAAGCCATTGACAGCCTTGTAAATTTTCATTTCAACTCCTCTATAGTGTTTGGAGTGGAAATAATAATTGTTAACACTAGAAATTGTGTGCTAGCTGATTCCTACTGCAGTCTTAGTTCATCACAATTGAACTTGAGGACATCAACCACCTACTATACCTGTAAGTAACAAGTGAACGCAACTGGACAGGACTTGGCACTACAGCAGAAATTTGCTCGTGTGACTTACAGGAGAGTTGTTAAACCCCATTTTCTGTCTTCCTTATGAAAGGAAAACTCATGAAACAGTGAAAAGCAGGAATCACTGCAACATAATACATGAGAAATAATTTAAATAAAATGCAATTCAGAGCTGCGCCCACCGGCCACCCTTAGTGAGTGCTAAAATGGTTTAGTTAGTTGAAAAGGAGTTAGTTACTGAATGTTGCATAATGGGAAAAGTTTGTTTACATATTCTGAACATATTTCCACAGGATGGGGGGAGAGATGGGGATGTTAGAATTAAAGGCAGTGTTAAGTATGCAAAATGTTTACTATGTATGTCAATGGGATCCTGATTAGTGACAGATCATGTGCAAATTGACAATACTCAATTTATTTTTGAATGGCAATATAGATTGTCAAGGTTGTGTATAATGATAATAAATATATAAAATGCTACTTGAACTATAAATGACCACTGAGACCTAATTTTTCCATCAGTGTTCTTAAAAGCAGCTTTGCATGAGTTAATGCACGTTTGTCCAAAAGATCACAGGTAAGAATTTGCTCAGACAGGCAGGGTTTCTCTTGTGCTTCTCAATCCCAACTGCTGGAGACTCATGTCTGCAGACAGACTTCCCCAAGTTGGAGCCCAAAGATACTACTGCTCTGCCTCTGGGAAAATGTGGTCATTTCCACATCTGAAGCTACATTTGAGCATTTGGAAGAGTACAAATTGCCAAACATCAATTCCTCTTTCACTGAATGACTTATTCCAACTTCTGAAGAAGTTCTTTGAACTGCTTGTGAAAATTAGTGGCTTCAGGTGTTGTTGGTTCTCTGAGAGGAAAAGATCCTGAAGCACAGCCATAAATCAAGTAGTTTAGCACCTGCCTCCTGCAGGACTTCTTGCTGCATGTCTCAGTGCAGTTCCTTTGTGTTCTGCCAGAATGCTATGACTAGGATACCTGCACACCATGTATAAT